CCTCGCTGAACAGGAGACACATATCAAAGCCGATTATGTCACTCACTGCATCGTATTCAGAGATGCCAGCAACGGCCTCCTTAATGTCCACCTCCAGACCACTCAGACCACCAATGGCCATCTCCAGCAGGCAAACAATGAGGCCGCCATCGCTAACATCGTGCCCAGCCAGCAGAGCACCTTCTCCCAGCAGTCTTTGCGTGATCTGGAAAGCATCGCTCAACGCTTTTGTTCGCTCCATATTGGGCGTCGTTTTGCCCTGCTGGGCATAGGCTTGGGCCAATGCTGAGCCACCCAGTCGAGCACATTGCTCTATGTTGATCCAGAGCAAAGCGCTCGATTTGCCCCTTGCCGGACCCTTGAGATCGGGTGTTATGCGCACGCGCACATCCGGACAGGGGGCATAAGTGGAGAGCACAAGTGTGCCAGGTGATTTGATTACCTCGCCATCTACTTTGGCAGCCATCGAAAGGGAATCCTTGCCGCCATCAATGCCAACGCGCAGCTCCTGCAGCAAAGTGCTGAGCGCCAAGCAAGCTTCGTACATCTTATAGCCTTCGCCGGGCAATTTGGCTGCCCACATCCAATTGCCCGAGCACTTGACGTCTGCCAGGTCGCTAATCTTCACGAAGACCAGATTGCTGAGCGCCTCGGCCACGCACATGTGAGCCATGTTAACGGGACTGAGCAGACCTAAGCAAAGAGGAATATTCAAATCAAGTAATGATAGACAAGCATATACTCTAGAAACTTACCCATAATGGGCTGTGTGCCTATGGAGGTGGCTATGCCCGAGTGGCTAAAATGCGATACAGTAGTCAGGGCATAGTCAGAGAGTGGCGCCTGCAATGGACCCACGCACTGCTGCTGCACAATGAGCCCGCCCACACAGCGATCCACCTTGTTGGTGAGGAAACGTTTGCTGCCCACCGCCACGATGCTTAACACCCGCTCCAAGGCGTCTGACAACTCCAGCGCTGCTGGCAGTTGCAATTCCTTGCTGGGAATGGGTATGGCTTCCAGCTCATAGGTGCGCTTAGGCAATTCACCCAATACGCTCGACAATTCCAAATCAAATGGTGATTTTCCAAAGCTTTCGCGCACCTCCGGCAGCAGAACCTCCTGCATATCCTTTGGCGCCGCTTGCTCCAGCAAGGTGACGCGACCATCGCCAGTGACAACGCCCACGAAGCTGATGGGGCAACGTTCACGTGCACAGATCGTCTCCAACAACGTGCGATCGTCTGGATTGCAGAGTATGGCATTGTTCTCTTGATATTCAGCGCCCCACAGCTCCAGAGCCGTTATGGTTGGGTCACCCAGTTTGAATTCCTTCGAGAAGATGATAGCACCAGCGAATCCTGGCTCCACCAGCTCCTTCAGCACATTTCCATTGCCGCCAGCGCCTTGATCGTGGATGGCCAAGATGGGATTCCGTGGGCCTAGCTCAATGCAGGCGCGCACAACACGATTCAATTTATTCTCCATTTCCGGATCGCCACGTTGCACGGCATTGAAATCCAGTTCGGCATCTCCAGAGCCTTGAACCTCCACGGAGCTGGCAGCGCCACCGCCCACACCAATGCGATAGACTGGGCCGCCGATCTTGGCCAGCAGCTGGCCACGTTCGGGCGTTATTTTTTTACGCATTGAAGCGGGCATCGTGCCCAATCCTCCACTGAACATAATGGGCTTCACATACTCCTCACGAATGCTGGGCTCCGCTGCATTAAACAAGCCATAGGAGATTGTAAAACCATTGATCAGCGGCTCTCCAAACTTGTTGCCATAATCCGAGGCGCCGTCGCTGGCCTCGATGAGCACCTGCAAAGGCGGAGCAAAGGAACCCGGATACTTCAGGCCAACCGGTTCATAGGGCTGACTGTAGCCGGGTATATTCAGAGCGCCCACACAGTAGCCGGCAGTGCCAGCTATGGGCAAGCCACCACGACCCACGCCCTGGACATCACGCAGACGGCCACCGGTGCCTGTGGTGGCGCCACTGAACGGTGCCACAGCTGTGGGCATATTATGCGTCTCGGCGGTGAATATCAAATCCGACTCAACGCGCTTTAACTCCACAATTCCAGGCCCACTAACGAGTCGCGGCTGCAGTGCATCATGCTCGAATCCCACAATGGCGCTACTATTGTCACTGAATTTAATTGTATTATTCGGATTCGTATTCTTCTGAGTGTCCATGATGAGTTTGATCAGAGAGCTGGGCAGCTCCTGGCCCTCGAGCACCATGCGCCCGCGAAAGAACCAATGCCTGGAGTGCTCGCTGTTGCTCTGGGCGCAATCGAAGAGCTCCACTGTGGTGGGATCTCGCTTCAGTATCTTGCTGAACAAATCGTAATAGTAGTCCAAGTCATAATCGGTAAATGCCAAGCCCAACTCCTGATTAATGCGCTCCAGTGCAGCACGTCCTTCGGCAAGCATTGGCACATAATGCCAGGCGGCCTGCTGTGCCGGCAGCTGTTCGTCGAAGCTTTCGCGCGGCGTATTCGCTGCAGTATATTGGCAATGGGTCATCCGGTCCCCAAGGAGAGCCACATAGTTAGACACTTCTCTAGTTGCGTCTGTGGCAAAGCGCAACAGATAACGCGTCGAGTTTTCCATGCGACGCACCTCTGTGTAGCCGAGATTATGAAATATGTTCACACAGTTGGTTGAGTAGGGTGTGGAGAAATTGAAGCGTGGCCCAATCTCCACCAGCATCTCGAATTTGCTGTTTTCCAGCTGAAGTTTTGTCTTCTCTTCGAGACTGCTGATCTTTTGCAGCGGCTGCCTAACCAGCCATTGCATCAATTGTTCCAATGCCAAAGGATAGGGACACAACGCCTTATCATACTCTAAGTGATAGCAACGCTCCATTCGCACCGACACCAAGTCCTTGTCGATGCTCTGCAGGCGCTGCAGGATGCGCTGCTTATCAGCAGCATCAAATACTGCTTCATCATAAAGTCTCAAAATGCCCATTGTCAATTGGCTGTAAGAAATATACAATGGAAAGTATTATAATATTAAAGGTATTACTAAAACTCTTTCGCATTTGTTGTCAATCTCAAATTCACAAAAATTTACAACTGAAGTGAGTTCAATTATTACTTATATATTATTTTATTTTTTATTTATATTTTGTTATCAAGAACAACTTTAGAATACTCTTGCACTCTCATTACGCTCACTTATAAATACATACATATGTATGCATACCTACATACCAATTGCGATCTAATTGAAAATCACACACTAACAAAATCCTTACTAGACAGACGAGCCTACACTAAGCCGGCATATGCACCAATACACTTACACCTCACTGCCCACAATGAATTTTGTTACTGCAGCCGCATAGCGTAAGCAGTTACTGTCTCACTTACACATGCACAGTACCTCCTATGTGTATATACATATATGTGCCAGTTTGACTTTTCTATGTAAAGTGCGCCGAAACAACCTTGAGCCGCATACATATTTCGGAATACTCGCCCTACACTAGCACAAATATACGTTCATATGCATGTACTTATGTATGTAAACACGTACATTTTATGTACATTAAGCCACCAAACTTTTTATTACTGCAACTGGAAACCTCTTACTTTTCTTTTTATTATTCAAGTCCGATTTTATACGTGCGTTCTTTAGACGCTTTTCTGTCAGACTGAACACTAGAGGCACTGGTACTGGAGCCTAATGCAGCTTTCCAAGCCGTTGGCAACTGAAACATCCCTGGCAGGGGGTTATCAGCTCACCACAGATCAGCGTCTCATGTTACACAGAGCAGACGCCCAGTTGCAATTGCAGTCATTGGCACTGGCGTCACGCAATTTGTATTTTTGTTTTTATTATTGCTGATAAACAGCAAAAGCGTAAACATATTTATTTGTTGCGAACTGACACACAGAACTTGTAACCAATAWTAAATTAAATTAAATTTAGTTTGGAAATTAACTAACCCGAACTAGAGTACAATAAGCAGTGCGCACGTGCACGCGCACAGCAAGTAAAGAACACTGAAAAGCAAAAGAATTAAAGAGAGAGGGAACGAGAAAATAAGCTAGACGCGCACGTTTTATTAGCTGTAAATTGGTCATTGGGTATGTGACGAGCAAAAAACAGCTGTTCAAAGCTCAAGAGCTACCCTGTACTAGAGAATGAATTGCAAAAGAGTGGTTAAGACCAGCTAAGTTAATATATTAATACAATTTAAAATTATTACGTATTTCTGAATTGTTATAATAACTTTAAGACTAATATGTGAATTATAAAAAAAATTTTATTCTATTTTTGTTGCAGACTTGGGCTGTTAAAATTAAAATAATGAAATACCATATTAATTTAATTATTTCTGAAGTCAAATGTCAACTTTATTAAAGCTTCTTATATATTTATATATTTGAACACTTTCCATTCAATATATTTAAATATATGCATATGTATATATTTATGAATGACTTAAAAAAGTTCATGTGCCTGTGTGTGAAGGGAGCAGACAATGTCACGCGCTGAGTACTATTTGAATTAAAAAAAGCTTTTTACTTTTCATTGTTGTTGCCAGTGACGCCGTCAATTCGCCGCGTATAGCAACAGCAACCACATGCAAAACAAAAAAGGAAAAAAACGTCACTAAAAGCTTTGCACTAAACACAGCAAACTAACGGAAAGACGCTATTAAAACAAACGTGTGCACCAATACAGCTGTAGACGGAAATTATCTTGGTTTAATTTTAAATGTAAATGCTTATGTATTTGTACAAGTATTTCAATCAATTTAGCGGTCATCAACGATGATAATGTTGGCCGCCAAATACGCAATAATGCATAATATACATATGTACATGAACCATGTTGTGCACATACAATATCCATAGACAATTTAGAATACAATTTTAATAATGAAATAAATGTGTGAATTGTTGTCTTAGAGCGCTTCTTGATTTATTATCTGACTCGCTTTTTATTTAATTTTTTTTTTTTTTTTTTCATTTTTCTTTTTTCAATTTGTTGCATATATTACAAACTATATATTAGTTTTTATTTATGAATAAATAACTTTTGCTACTATGCTGCTCCCTCTGTTGTTGTTGCAGCTGCTTCATCTGTTGACATTGTTGTTTTGGTTGCTATTGTTGTTGTGTGGATTACGTTGCCTAACGGGCTGACCCTCGTATTAGCAATCAGAGCAACGCGCAGCTTTCATATGGAAAAGGTTCGACTTTTTTTTTTTTTTTTTGGTATTTTTTCTTTTTTCAATTTGATTTTAAAAAATATATCAAAGCAGACGAATAAAATAGTTCGTTTGCTATTTTTCAAAGAGAAAAGATTATGTTGAATTATTGTTTTGTGTGTGTTTAAGGTTCGTTCGATTATTTTATGCGTGTTGTTTTTTTGTTGTACTACGACAAAGCAGCGTACCCGACGATGCGCCTACAACGGTAAATTCCAATTCACTACGTCCAAAATAACGGCACCCACTTACAATTATGGTGCTAGATAGATAGATAGTTATCTATGCTCGTTATCGATAGCATCTATGTTATGTGCATGGCTTTTGCCGCTTTGGCCGCCTGTGCACCAATCTCATCCATACTCTTTCGCGCGCTCTCCGTGACCTCGTCAATGGAACGCCGCGTACTGTGTATCAGTTCGTCTGTGCCCCGTGCAGCTGAATCGGCAATGCTCTTCACCTCCGTATTGATCAGGCCAATGACCCATTCGAGTCCCTGGCGACCCTTGCCCGCATTCGAACTAATCGTAGAGGTTAGCAGATCTTCCATATAATGTGAGAGAGGCACGCCATAGACAGTCACTGTAGCCTCTTGTTTGAGCAGTGTTTTGGTTGCATCGCCCGGATGTGGCTCATAGTAGAGAACCTCGTCAACGCTGATATTGCGGCAAAATGTTAAGTTATTTGTCTTTAAGACCATCTGTTTACGCTGCGGATCCACAGTGGAACGTTCGCTGGCAAAACAAGTCTTCGCCGTGCCAATCAGCGCGTGCGTCCACTTTGGGAAATACCATTTGGATTGAACGAGACGGTGAGTGTGCAGAACTCCATTTACCACTCGACGCTCCACGACATCCGTGCCAATAATAGAAGGTGTCATTGGATTTGGATACTTTCGCCAGGCGGCCTGGGTGACCGTCTCCCATGGATGGTTGAAGACATGCTCGGACGTCCAGATTTTCATTATGCAAGCGTTGCTGGCGTTCACCTCTTTTCTCTTTTATACGTATTTCTCTTCGTCGTTGCTGTTGTTTCGCAATCGAGGGCTGCCTATTTATCGCCGAGGCAACAGGACAGAATAAAATGTAAAAAAAATGTTGTGTTTAGGTTCGTTTTACAAAAAAATTTTGAGTAAAAAAATTTCAGAAGTTTTTTTGGTGACAAATACAGAAGACCGACCTTTACTCAGGTGTTCTGCGAGTAGTGTGACTGTTCGGCTATCGATGTGCCTGTCGGTTTAATCGGTATGTCGATAACTATAAATAATCATGTGGACACTCTTAAAAAACATCGTTAAGTAGGACAACACTGAAACGGTTGTTTAAATGTAAATATATTAAGTGAATTTACTATCTAAAATGTGAACTTTATAAGTCGCCTTTTAATAATATTTTTACACAGTAACTTAAATGTATGCTGAAATTAATCCGCAGGAAATGTTGCAACGTAGTTTTCGTATAGACACGGATCAATGCGCTTTAGACGCTCTTCCAAGAACTGCCGAAACTCCTGCATTTCGTTAGCGTCTTTCACTAATTTTTTCAACTCCGCCATAAGACATTCTTGCAGCACCTCCTGACTGGGACTTCCCGGTTCTTTCTTCACTGTTTTTTCCATACGCATTTTTATTTGATTGCGTATTTTAAACCTTTCATAGGTCAAAATATTGGCCAAAGCTTTTGCGGGCGTTCGAATGGTTGGATTTGTTGTATTTGTTTGTTCAGCCTCAATTGACGAGCTAGATAATCGTTTCGGTGGCTTTTGTTGCTGCTGCTGATGCTGGGGCTGCATTTGCGGCTGCGGTTGTGTTTGTTGCTTCTGCGGCTGTTGCTGCTGTTTGTCGTTCTGGAATTCCATCATTTTAGCCAATGCACGAACGGGAGCGCCGCGTAATTGTATGGTTGAGGGAACAGTTGATGGCTGTGCCTGGTCGTGTCTCTTTTGTCTATTATTCTTCTCGGATTCCGCGTCGGTTGGCCTATCAATAAACTCCGATAAGGAGGGTTCTTGTGGATGTGTCTGTCCTTCGGATTGGGCAGATTCTGTCGATTGTTGAAAGTTGATTAAATGGAATACACCATTTGTATCGTAAAATTTATAGCCCAGCATTTCAAGGGCAATTTCCGTTAATAAATACGACATTTTAGCGCAGAAATTTTTTACAATGTCAACTTGACCTAGCGTCAGCTAGAGATAGAGATGCAATGTATGCAAATCGTCGATTACTTTGAAGATGAGATTCGATGTGAAGAAGATACCAATCTTATTAAATACTTATTTGAATAATCCCATTTAATAATATTATGAATTTAAGTTTATCCACATCATTTGTTTAATAAAATAGCAAAGAAATCTCTAGGAATATTAAAATTTTTTATAATCGGAATTTGAGACATTCAACAGCCACCTTTAGGAGCCCATAATTATTCAATCTAAATTTGGCGTGGTAACATTGTTTGATGTCAAAAACAGCTGTTTTGGCTTTGGTTATGAATTGATGTACGACGCATTTATTGACATAGATATGTGAATGAAATATTGAATATTGCCAAATTAAAGCAAAGCCCATTTTTTTTTAATGATTTCACGGAACAAACATTTTTAGTTAATGAGCCGATATGAAAATCAACGAAAAGAACCTATGTGTTTTTGCCCGAACGCCGCCGTTTGACATGGAGGGTAAATAAATTGAATACTCTAAAAAATTAATTAAGAAGAATGAATACCTAACATATTTGTGCTATTATTAATCACTCGCAGGTTTCCTCAACAAGCGGGGTGTAGTCAATAAAGCATTTCAGCGACGATATTTTGTGCTCAAAGGCAATTTGCTATTCTATTTCGAGTCGCGCCTGGATAAGGAGCCGCTGGGCCTGATTATAGTGGAGGGATGCACCATAGAACTATCGGAGGAATCGGATGCCGACAACTACTGCTTTGAGATCGCCTTCAATGGCAATCGCACCTATATACTAGCTGCCGATACACAAGAGTGCATGGAGGCCTGGATGAAGGCCTTGACATGCGCCGGCTACGAATATAAACGGATCATTGTTGCTGAGTTGCAACGTCAGCTGCAAGAGATCGAATACTCTCGCAACAGTAGGCGACAATAACATATACTCTCTATATATTCTACTAACTACATTCTGTTGCAGAGATGCGCAGCGACCGTAGTGATCCACAACAAACGGTAACCGATGGCCAGGGCAAACCTGTGCCGCCACCCAGACGTCCAAATCCCTTCAATCGCCCACCGCCGCCGCCGCCAATTGAAGCGGGTGGTGTACGAGGCGGTGTGGTCATATCTCCGATGCCCTACATCTCTGACTACTATGCGGTGGGCAAAGCGAAATCAGCTCAACAGGAGCTGCACAGTATAGGTAAGTCATCGATGACGTCACTGACTGCGTCACGCGGCAGCTGTTTCGTTAAGATTCTAACCATAGGGGCTACCGTTACACGGCAGACGAAAGAGAGCGACAATGACCGAAAACTACTGAGGTAGCCGGTGGTGCAGATACCCTGCATAGCTTGACAAATTTACTTAATACAGCAAATTAACATTTATGATACCCTGCAAATAATTATTAGGCTATATTATAGCATGATTTGCTTAAGATCACGAGATGTTCATGCGCATAGTAAGATAGGAAGATAAATTTATATGTATTATATCCATATAGGGACGACGGCAGTACAAAAAAATTCAGGGTCTAAGCAGATAGACAGTTGGAAATCTTAAAAAGTTGAACATCAATATCAAAATCATGATATATTAAATACCCAACTTTTGTTTAGTTCATTAAAAATATAAAAAAAATACTGTGTAGGCCTTTTGTTAAATGTGTTACATAATTACGCTTGAAATTGTCATGCCCTGTGCGATGGTATAAATTGCGCTTAGGGAAACGATTTGCAGTGCAGGAAAAAAGACAAAAACGTGCGCGCATTTCTTTCTCAACTCAGACTTATCTCAGTTGCTCGCGTACGCTAGCTGTGCTATGCCACTCTACGAGCTCATTGCAAAGATCTGCTGCATATTTCCAAACCGAGGCTACAAACAGTTGATCAATATTTCAGATAACGGCAATGGCAGTGCGGGCAGCCAACATTCAACGCCTCGTACACGCCGACGTCAGGCACCGACTGGCGCATCACCGAGCATTTTCTATGATGACCTGCCCATAGCACCGGCCAGATCAACAGTATTAGCTAAAAGCAACAACAATCACATTGATCGAGCGGAACAGAAGCGTCGCCAGGAAAAGGCCACCGAGCGGTTCACGCAGCGTCATGAAAAGTTCCGCAAAGTCATCATGCGCGACATCCTATTGTACAGGGAACGCCAAACCCAGCCATTGATACAGCTGTAGATCGTGCGAGAACTGCAAGAATGCGATTTTTGGGCCTGTTTTATATGTTGAAAATTTACATTTACAATTATCTATTTATGTTCAATTTCCATAATCCTTAAATTTAAATATACACACACACACGAGAAAGACCTATCCACTAATACAGAGTCAAGTGTTAATTGTTTACATAAATTATAGTACAATATTAAATTTAATTCCTCTCCTATAACTGTGTCAGATACTCTCTCAACAGATCATTGCGTTCGCGCTGTATAGCATTGGACTCGTCGATCCGTTTGCTCAGCTCTCGTATGGCAGCTATGCGATTGCGCTCCAAGATTAACAATTGTCGCTGCTGCTCCTGGCTGACAGAGAGATCCGTCTTTGTTCCATTATCTGTGCCCAGGGCTTGAGCGTCTATGGATGCACACATATCAGTCAATGCAACATGCGCCGGCTGTTGCTGTTCGGCTGCTCCACTATCGTTCTTTACGTCAGCAGGCGCCTGCTCGCTATGAAACATTTCGTCGAAGGTGTCATAGTAATCCCAGACGACACGCTTGCGTCCGTTCTTGCGCAATGTTTCGCGACACGTTCGATACGTTTTCTTCATGTTGCGCCACTTGCGATCGCAGATGTCCTCGTTGATGCCCTTGTAGCCAGCACGTTCCATGTCCTCCACAATCTCTGTCCAGAGTGCGCGTTTTCTTGTTTTGGGATCACGGAATCTGTGGCGTCGTTCCGAATAGAGTTCGACCAGCAGCTTGGTACTCTTTACATTCCAATGCCATTCTTCGACACCACCTTCGCATTCCAGATAATAGTGCGTGGTTTCAGTCTCGTCATTGTCCATTGGATTCATATGCTGGTCAGGCCAAGAATGCCAAACTCTTATTTTTATATTAACAATAACAAAAATAGCTAGGGCTGCAATACTTCTAGTATTGACGATATGAAAAATATCGGTATATCGCACTATCGCAATCAATAGGTGTTTTAAAGTTAATTTTCTATTTGGAACTGTGTATACACTGATGGTCTGACCGCTTTGCTTCTTGTTGTTTTTGCTGCGTACGCCGTACGGAACGGGAACGGTATACGAAAAGTTATTAGTTGTGAAGATTGAATTGTAAGTTATCAACTGCCAATATAGCCTAAAATTAAGTGAATCGTTTCAATCTGAGTAAGGTAGTGTAGTACGGTTTGTCAAGCTTTTGCAAGTGTTTCCTTATCATGCTGCCTTTGTTCACAGTGTGTTTTTGTAAAAGTGACGCCAACATTTCAAATTTGATTTAAGCCGCCGTTCAACGAAATCATTCTTTTGGCATAACGGATATTAAGCGGCGTATTATTTGCTAGACTATGAAGTAACAGATACTTTCATTTCATGCGAATATCTGTGCCTTTTCAATAGAAGTTCAAAAGTACTTTGCAGTCGGCGTTAGCAGCGCAGCGGGCTTACTTTGTTGGCGTTCATTTTGTTTTTCCATGCTTGCAAAACCACCACACAAACACATACGCACATACACGCTTGCACACACACACACACACACAAGCGGAACAAGCAGCGCGTGAGAGCTGCGATTAGAGATGAGCGCTTGTCAACATTCCTAGCAAGACGCGTGCAAAAATTTAGCAAATTCAAAATATTGTTAACAAAAAAGTTATCATAATTGAAATAAATGATTCAGTTGCAAATTGAATTTAAATCGAATATCAATGTTTTAGCTGCCAGCATATTAGATTAAAACATTATGTGTATTTATGTGAGAACATCATGTCACGCTCACATCACTATGAACAACCGCTACGCTCTGCTGCGTACAAATTCTGGTTCTGGCTCTCAATGTCTGCTGGTCTCTTTACAGCTGCAGAGAGACAAAGATAGAGACGCATTACTGCTAATTGAAAGATGTCCGCTAAGCGTAAGGCAGGTGGTAACGGGGCCGGTCCCAACAAGCGTCGCCCAAAGAAGAAGGAATCAGACTACGAGGATGAGTTCAGTGATGAGTCCGACGACGATGTCGCCCAACAGCAACATGCTGCCGGTCAAATGGAGGTGCTAATACCACACGATAGTCTGGATCCGCCCAGTAAGCTGCCAGAGGATTTGCTAGCGACTCTGGAGAAGACACCGGGTCAGCTGCTGATAGCCGGCATGGTGACCTGGGATCTAACCGGCAAACGGGATCGCAAAAATGTCACAAAAGTGCGTCCCAATCTGTATAGCTTTCATCGCTTTACAGATGAGATGGTACGTGAGAATTGCAACAATAATAACAAAACTCAATTAGTAACGTATTCCAAAACTTGCAGTATCGGTATGCTGCCAGTGGACCCGCTGCAGCACACACAATACTCATCAACATGGATCGCAAGGCATTGGGCTTTGGACGCAATCCCAGCGGTCAGCTTGGCTTGAGCCAGGATATGAAGCTGGTGGAGAAGCCAACACTCATTCCAGCACTGGAGCAGCTGAATATCGTACAAGTAGCCGCTGGGCGGCATCATACGCTCTTCCTCACCGACACAGGCACCGTCTATGCCTGCGGAGAGAACAAGTCCGGGCAATGTGGTGTGGGCAATGCTCATCCAAATATCTTTACACCGACTCCAATTAATTATCGTGGCCCACCTATTATACGCATCGGCTGCGGTGCCGAATTCTCAGTTATACTCGATATTAAGGGCAATTTGCATACGTTCGGCTTGCCGGAATACGGTCAGTTGGGCCACAATACGGATGCCAAGTATTTTGTGAATGCCAATAAGTTGTCATTCCATTTTGAGACATCACCGAAGAAGGTTGTGCTCTACATTGAGAAGAGCAAGGAGGGGCATGTGACACCTGTCGATGGTGTACAGATTGTCGACTTTGCGTGCGGCAACAATCATACGGTACGTGAAATGATATTCTATATATAACATTATCTCTTAACACCCACACTTTGCAGGTGGCAATTGATTCAAAGAAGCGAGTCTATAGCTGGGGTTTTGGGGGCTTTGGCCGCTTGGGTCATGCCGAGCCCAAAGACGAGATGGTACCGCGTCTCATGAAGTTCTTTGATTCTCAAGGACGTGGCGGACGCAGCGTCTACTGCGGCTCAACCTTCAGCTTGATAATCAACGAGCTGGGACTGCTTTATCTGTTTGGCCAGAACAAGAAGACGGGCGAGGCCAACATGTATCCCAAGCCAGTGCAAGATCTGGCAGGTTAGTTTACATGCCCTGTGCATCCATAGCTATCACTAACTGATTGTTATTGATTCTTCTTCTATGTGCAGGCTGGAACATAACAGCAATTGGCTGTGCCAATACCTCAATTATGATATCGGCTGATGATACTCTAATTGCCTGGGGCGCATCACCCACATTTGGCGAGCTGGGCATTGGTGAGTTCCAGAAGTCGTCGACGGTGCCAAAGGAGGTGCCCAAAATGGACGGCATTAAAATACCTCAGGTTACCATGGGCTACTCCCATACGGTTTTGCTTGTGGATACCACACATGAGGCCACCAAGCAGAAGTATGAGAAGATGCCCGAATATACTATCGAAGATTAAACACACCCAGCAACAAAAAAAAAAGGAATATATATATATAGAAATGATAAAAAACAATATGATAAAACATTAAGTATACCGCTGCCAACAACAATACTGCTATATTTATATAAATACTACAAAACAAAACTTGAACTGATCAACGAAACTCTGCTGCTACTTACAGAAGACAAAACAAAAACAAAAAACAAAAAAAAAGGAGAAAAATTCAGAATTAACTCACTCACATTTCATACTATAAGTTTTAAAGTATTTTATCTATGCCAATAACTCTCTCACTAACTCCCACAACTTATATCTCAAATATCTTTTATGTATTTATGAAACAGCATTACGATTTGTGAATTAAGTACGTTTCTTTCGTAATTTATTTAACTCTTCCCTTGCTATTTATGAAAAGTATTTTGTATGAATCGCTGTCTTTAATTTATTTCCGCCCATAATTAGGCTTAAAATTTTTTCAAAAAAACCTCTATTCTAATAAAAACAAAAATACAATAAATTTATGTATACAAATATAATTTTTAAATACGAAATGCTGCTTAGTTATATAAGATCCATTAATTTACTATTGTCCAATAAACACAGCATGAACATCCCGAACAAAGAAACAATACAAAAACAACTACAATGTATAATTAAGCGCATAAGTTACATATATAAATATATATACAACAAAAATTAAAAAAAAAAGAAGAAAGTATACAATGGAAGAAACTCCAATACAAGTTGCAACTATTAAAAAACATCAAGCATTTTAATCATATACAAGAATATTTAAATAAAGAGAAAACATGTTAGTATTTAAATCGAATTTATTTATTTCAGCTGAGGTCGCCTTAAGCATTGCTCTAACTAAACTTTTGAATATTTATAAAAGAAATTACGATTGTCCAAAAACAGGTAAGAAATGTTTAGGAAATCTCAGCTGGTGTCGGCAGTAACTTTTCTGATTTTTTTTTAAATTTTTTAACTCTAGTTCTAAAAGTTTAAATCCAAGTAGTTCTTCCAAGTATTTCCCCCAAGCTGAACGATCATTAAATATTTAAACCCATTTCACTGCACTGCACGACTGACCACCATGGCTGGGCGACTGAATAAATGCTGCAGCTGCTGCCTTTTATATAGGGCGACTCTCACTCAAACACTCAGCGCCAGGTAGGGGTCGTTGCAGTCGAATTTTAAGTGACCAATCGGAACACTCTCTGCTGCTTCGTTTTACTCAAAAATAAATACCATATGAATACCGATGCATACTTAAATGATCTTCTGTAGTTYTTCCCTTGCATACAGACAGAGAGACAGGCTGTGAGAGGGACAGGCCGACGGATACTCAGACTCAGACACCTATGCAGGCAAACAAATACTCATAGTCAAATTGAATAACCTCATTATACATACGTAAACATTCATATTAATAATTATTAAAAGGTATAGCCAACGGGTTTTTCTGTTCTATAAATCACTTAAGGACTCATTTTCAATGAATAGGTATTTAAGCCTGAAATGGGCTAAATATGCAGCCTCATACATGCGTATGCAGGAACGCTTACTCATGTGTGTGTGCGTGTGTTTTTTCTTGGGTAAGCAAAAAGGAAGCGAAGAATTATTGAGACAACAGTCCCTCAAAGAGTTCAAGGGATATCGTAGTCGAGCAGTCTCGACTAGAGCATTCTTTTTTGTTTTATTTATTAATTTTTTCCGTTTGGCTCCTTTCCAAATTTAAGTTCTTATCACAAGTCCCGCAAGGACCTTGCGGCTATCACAAATGAAAGCGAAAGTTAAGCATTCGAGAGACTGAAAAGCTCTGCCATGGCCCAACAACAGTCAAAAGCTTTCGGCGTTACTCACGACTTTTAACTCCGAACTCTGCTCTGACTCTCACCCTCTCTCTCTCTCTCTTTCGCTCTCACAATTTAGCTGTCTTGGGCTGTATTTGCTTGGCTTCAGCACAATTTTCACTGTTAGCCAGGACAGTCTTCCGCCGTAGTCCTTTCGTGTAATGTGCGCCATTGAGGAACGATTTCTGCACACCGCACATTGACTTTTATTTTAGTTTTTTTTCCCAACACACACACACACAYACACTTTCACACACGCACACACACACATACAGTGACACAGACACACACAGACGCACGCATCCACATAAAAAAACATTTTATTAAAATTAAGAAAACAAAAAAAAACAATTTTACTTACGAACAAATAAATGTAAAAAATATTTGCTAAAAGTGTATTTGATATATATAAAACAAAAATTTAAACAAAACTAAAATAACAACAACAACGACTAAGACGCGCCCGCTGCAATAACGATATTAGCAACAAAGAAACTGAAAATAGTACTAACTGTAAATTACAGTGCCTTCAATAAAGTAAACAACAAACTATAGTCGCCAACACAACAATCAGCAAAAACAAAAAAAATATTTATTTTCACTTCACATTTTCATATGAAGCGCGAAATAACAAAACAGTAAGTTATTACGTATACTCAACGTGAGTACGTGTGTGTGCGAGTGTGTGGGCGTGTGTGTGTGGGCGTGTTTGTGTGTGCGTTGGCGTTGCCGTTGCCGCCTTTTGATACAACACTAATTGTTATTCAGCTGCTTTCGCTTTCGCCACGCGTTTTTATGGCTAGTAATTATGGCGTCGTTTTTTACATGGCCAATAGCATTTCTTTGTCTCGCTCTCCCGCCGTCTCAATCTCTTGCCTTTGCCTTTGCCCCTACCCACGCACCTTTTATTGTTCGCCGCAAAACTTTGCTTAACTTGCCATTCCCGAAAAGTGTGTGTATGTATGTGTGTGGTTGTTTTTTTTTAACTTAAAGACAACGGTAAACGCACACACACATATATACCAGTGCACGCACACAGACAGTGTAACTTGTTTGTTTGGCATTTGTATTGTGGCAGGCACGCACAAGACGCCTGGACACACACACACACACACATAACACACACAAAGAAATTGTAAGCTGTCAAATCAATAAGAACAGACAAAAGCAGCGGGCGAGCTAACGCCATCAAGTTGCGCATCTCAGTTGATATGTATGTGTGTGCGTTTGCGTGTGCTGTGTGTATCTGGCGGCTTTTTTGCGACTGTATGCGTAAGCGCCTTGTTATTAAATCACCTGTGGCTGACAGTTTTCATATTAGCGGGGTGCTGCAATAACAACAATCGAATCCATCTCTTTCCAACGTTTGCATGGGCCGGGATACGGCCATTTTCATCTTCACATTGGCTTCCCGTTTGTCCATTCTTTTGTGCTGAAGCAGGATGGAGGCTATGGCTTGCCATCGCTTTTTGTCACCTTTTGTGCCTGCTGCCGACATTTGAGTGACGTAAATTAATATAGATTCACATTTCAAAATTCTCAATAAGCAAATCCCAAGAAATCGCCCACACTAACAGAGCTGCTAAAAATATACACATTTTTGAAGAAAACTAAAACATTTTTTTTAGGTAATTAGGGCTAAAAATTGGTTATTGAATATATTAAAATATAAATATGAATACGTAAAAAATTTAAAGTATTATATATTTTAATTATTTGTTTTTAATTATAATGAAATAAATGATATAAGTTGTAACAAAAACTTAGCCAACAGGTTATAGACACACACACATACATATATAATCACGGTGAATGGATACCGACAACATGTGGGTATACACACACAAACACACACAGAGACACATGCTCGCAGGTCAGGATTAAATTAACGCAAATTAAGCAGATTAAGCAAACGTCAGTCACATCAAGCAGCAGCAGCCGCGGAACAATGTGCAAAAGGCAAAAGCGTTGACGTTGACAACAACAACTCACACACCCATACACACACACACACACACACGTGTGTACAAATTGCGTTGAACAATGGCGGCGGCTAAAATTGGCAGCAACAACAAAATTGATACACAGCAAGCCATACAAACTGACGCAAGCATTCACAAACACACGCACACACATGCAAACAAAGCGCGCTGTCTGGCAGAGCTTTTGTGTGCATACGGACACTCACACACACCCACACACATGTGTACACTGACTTATAATCATGAAGCAACACAGTACATTGGGGTGACTCATGCAAAAAAGGTTTTTATAGCCCACATCAAAAGGTACTGCGCCCTTGCTATCAAATCTTGAGTCACCCTGTGTTTTTCATTGCCCGTTTAATGAGCTGGCTTGCTCTGGCGTTTGTCCGTTTGCTTTTTGGATAACAATTTCAATTAAAGTTTTTAATAGCACAGCAGTGTATAGACTGCATTTATTGCTCCTGCACATGCAGCATCAACATTAAAAAATGGCGCCCTTTCTCCGCCGTGCACTGATTTAACGCGCAATTAAGCCGCCAGTTGTAGCTCGCCCACAATTTCCGCGCCACGAGTAGTAGATGGCACCAATCCTTGCGGTTGTTTTGTCGTGGGCGCAAAGTGCAAGGTTGCCATTCATTTTGGCTTGCCAACAAAATGGGGCACGGCGGAAGGAAGCGCAGCACTAATCTCTGAGTGCGCCCTGCTTCGCATTGCATAAGTGTCAGTGTCACAGGCAGATGCGGCGACTGAAGCAGCAGCAGCAACAGCAGCAGCGGTAGCGGCAGAGTGTCTCTTGTGTAAGTGTATGAGGGTGTGTGTTTGTGTGTGTTTGATTGTGCATGGGTATGCATGTGGCTGTCACTTTGTGTGTCCTTGTTGAAACAAAACAAGGGGGCATGCAATACTAAATAGTCGACTTTGTAATACCTCGTGCCCAACTGCAATCCATTAATTATTTAATAGACATTTAATCATAATTCATATTTGCCATTTTGATTCTCAGTCTCAGTGCTCAAAGAAATTCATAATTCCAAAATGATTGACCTCATAAAAAATATGTATATAATTTTCCTGTTGGATTATTATCTTGCATTTATTTATATGACGTTTTTGTGTTGTCATTTTATGATACGAATTAGTTTCTATCACGCATACACCATGTTTTCACGCCAAATAAAACACGCAAAGCCCGTACAATACTTATACCAATAAAGCGTAGCCTATTTATTGGGGCCCGTACAAAATTGTTATACTTACAAATACTTGTTTAAGAAATAGAATATCAAAATATATTTCTAGCATTATCTGATATGTTTTTTTACATGTTATCCATACTAAGACAACTACCCCTTACTCATCTAAAATAGAGGGTATATAAAAGACTGATGATGACATTTTGTTACTTCCTACCTACAACCTATTTCTTTTTTTCTCTTTTTTTTTTCGTTTTCCAATACAGCACCAGCACCTAGCACCTTTAGTATGCAATGAGGCAGCCAGACAAACGCATCGACAACGATCGGCAGCGCCAAGTATTAGTAATACACGAGTGTGATTAAAAAGGATGAATAGCAACAACCTGCAGCAATGGTGGGAAAACTCATATCGACGACAGCACCAACAGCAGCCGAATGTCGATAGCAATATCGATAACGATAGCGCAACAACTGACCTGCACTATGCCCTACTTGAGCAGAACTTTTTTGGCGGCAATGGCGGCAATTTTGGCAATGGAATGGCCGGCAGTTCGCCGCAAGACTTTGACTATGACAACTATGGCAATTTCACACTAATTGATCCCTATGATTTTGACACTGGCGCGGATTCGGAACATGCGATACCATCATTTACCATTTTACTCTTGGCTATAAGCTATGGCTTAGTCGTTTTTGGCGGCGTCGTCGGCAATTCGACTTTGGTACTTACCCTCTGTTCGGCTTCATCTGTGCGCCTGCGAAATCCTCTACTCTTGGCCGTATGCATTGCCGATCTCCTAGTCACGGGCATTTCAGCGCCAGTTACGCTTCTCAATCTGGCCATGAATCGCGGCACTAGATCATTACCACTTGCATTATGCAAACTAATACACTACGTACAGGTGAGCACAATAACCAAATATAATTATCATTCAATTTGCATTTTACACTAAAAAAAAAAAGGCTATCTTAGGTTTCGCGCGCATTTTCATCATTATTTAATTATCCAAATTATTTTATTGTGAAAATTTACACTTGAGTAGCAATTTTCAGGCACTTTTAAAATCCCAATAAGAAAACTATCTGCCTTAAACTATCGAAGTATCGCTTATATGGCAACACCTGCTAACAGCAAAGTGGTAAAAGCAGAGCATTATTAAAATTATTGAGTGGTTTAAAGGAATTACACTTTTAAAGTAATATACAAGTTGTATAAGGAATAGACCGCAATATTTATTATTTAATATCAATAATATTTATAATTTAAAATAAACATCCCCAAATTATCATTTTATTAACAGCACCAGCTGAGCTTAACAGCATATTAAAAAAATAACAATTAACATTAATGGCGCGAGAATAAATATAATGGAGATATTTTAAGATGGAGAATTGCTTACTTATTAATTTCAGGTCATGCCAGTGGCAGCTAGCACTATTTCATTCTTCATGCTATCACTGGATCGGTATGCCACCGTGAAACATCCACGTTTGGCTCAGTTGCGACAGCGGCGATACCTTCATGTCTCTTTGGCTCTGCTCTCATGGATCGCCTCGGCAGCGATCAGTACGCCATTCCTGTTTGCCTATAAGATAATAGCAAAGTCGGTGGTCATCAAGGGCACAAACACCACACCGAATCCAGTTAGCATCAGCTGCACATCCGAGTTGGGCGCGAATGCGATGTTCATGTCGTTCATCATCTTTCATACGATCGCGGTGTTTGTGCTTCCCGGCGTGGGCGTTCTACTGAATCACTATGGCGTACGTCGTAAGCTGTGCGCGCTCTCCTTAACAGCGCGAGCGGCCCATGGTGAGCTGCCGTTGCCCATGCCCATATTACGCCGCCAGACACACATGGTAATCGTGACGGGCTGTGCGAACGCACAGCAAGCGGCATGTGGCGGCGCAACAACGGCGGACGATACATCCAATGGCAATGGAGGCGGTCAGATGGCTATCAATCCCGGCGATATTCAGCTGCATAATCTACAGCCCTGCTTGCAGGCTGGCTCCAGTGCGGCACTTGAACCGGGCTCCTATCGCTCCAGCAATCCGATTTCACCAAGGTAAGCTAATTAGCTATCTAACTAATTGCACCTGCATTAATTTTAAATCATATTTTTCCACAGAGCTATGAGGGAGATACGCGCCCATTCGCAACGCCAACGGATTCATCGCTTGGGCCGTGGTCCAGCCACTCCTGGTATACCTCTGCCACAGACATCGACGCTGCGTTCACGTCGACACTTGGCCAATATGCTGATTGCATCGGCTCTAATCTTTATCATCTGCTGGGCACCGCATGTCTTCTGCATATTCTATAAGAATTTCGGCTATAAGCAATACTGCAGCAAAACTTCCGTCTACTTCAGTCTCCTATTGGGTAAGTGAAGCAGTATATAAACTTTTTCTTTTTTAAATGCCTTATAAGAAATGATTACCTAAGTTATAAGTTATATGAAAAAATTCTATATTATCTATAAAGTAATTATATAGATAAATATGAATGGCATGCGTATAAATCGCACGAAAAGCTTGACATAAATCTCCAACTTAAATATATTAAACATGCTAAATATAAAAATATTATTAGTATATAGAAATAAACATTCACACAAAAATGTAATATTTAGCTAAACCAACAATTATGGCCTCAGCACATATACTAAGTAAATCTGATTCGTATTGGTCGAGCGTCAATTGCTTTGCAATGCTCGAACAGCCCTATGAGGAGCGTTGCGAGTTTGTGCGAAGAGCCAAGAAATGTGAACTGAGCATGAATCTTGTGCCTTATTTGGAGCTGTTGGCCTGCCGATTCAGGTGTCGCAATCAATTCGAAGAACTCGTCTATATATCACTGCTGCTATTCTTCAGCTTCGAGTTGATGATCTGCTTGGGCTATGTGCTGCATTACTATTATACGCCCATGCTCCGTGCAGTGGCGAGGATTCTGCATATGAATGACCATCTGGCGGGAGTGATGATCATATCAATTGCCAATACGCTGCCGAAGCTATATGGCAGTTGGTCGGGCCTGGAATTGAGGGCACTGAAAGCATCTCAGCTGTCCCATGGCTTCTCGTTGATTCTCTTCGTGGCTATGTTTAGTGGGGGATTAGTTTGCTATATGAGACCCCTTCGGATGAACAGTCACCGGACTATACGTGATCTATTATTCTCCGTCTATGGCCTCACGCTATGGGAATATATCTCTGTAAACGATGGCGCGATTACGTTCCCTGAGTTTTTGCTGCTGATCCTCGTTTATTGCTTCTATTTGACTGTCAATGTGCTCGATCTCTATATGCAGCACATCAGCTTGAAATGTAGGTGAATAGAAGTGAATGCCTCGTAGTGAGTTATCACTGTAATTCCTCCCGATTTACGTTTTGCAGTGTTGCGACGACAAATTCAGCTGCGAAGAACTAACGTACAAGCCATAAAAGAAAAGTACTACATACTTGTTCAGGATCTACGACTTGGAACACCCGTTCGTTCGTATACCAATTCGATTTGCAATGAATTTCAGAATAGCAAGAAAGAACGCTATCTTGGCCTGAAACTCTGCCGCCTCAAGGATTGGCAGCGGGCCAATGCGTTGATACGCGCCTTCTACATTGCCCGCGCCCCGATCGTGTGGCTGTGCACCATCTATATACCCCTGGTGGATCATGAGCGGGACAGGCATGGCTGGTGTAAGCTGCTCAACTGCATCCAAATATGCCTCAATCCGGCGCTAACGATTGCCATCATGTCTCGCGGTACGTCCATGTCGTCTCTCTATGTACTTTGCTCGTTAATGTTGAGCCTTCCGGTATGCGTGCTCATGTTACTCCGCTCCGATGCCGGAGTTGCGCCCAAGCATCATTCGATGTTTGCTATTTTGAGTCTGACTGGATGCCTGTTCATCGTCCAGCACCTGGTCAAGGAAATATCGTTGATCCTGGAACTGATTGGCACGCTAAGGCACATGTCGCCCGGTTTTATGGACGTCTCTGTCGATCCCATTGCCAATGGCCTAACGGATCTGGTTACCAGCTTTTCCCTGTGCAAACAGGGCTACGAGCGAATGGCTTATGCAGCAGYAATCGGCAGCTCCTTTCTGAATATCATTCTGGGCAAAGGTGGCAGTCTGATCACGGCAGTTATTCTGTACGGCATAAATGCCGATGAGGAAATGATAAATGTTTATTGCGAAAATGCGCTCATTCTCTTGATCCTGGGCCTGCTATCCATGCTGCTATTGATATCGCTATTCAAATTCAATGCACAACGCTCGATGGGCATTTACTCCATGTCCATTTATTTGCTATATTTTCTATTCACTGCACTTGTGATGAAATGGACTTTTCACAAATTTCAAATAGACTTTTCCTTCAATACTCATGGATCAGATTCTTGAAGAAAAGAGAAATAAATAAATTTGTGCGCGTGAAAAAATAATTTTTTTTTTTTTCATAAGATTAGGTAAAGGGTATTTTCCAATAGAACTCTCTAGACTAATCCATCCTTGTGTTATTTTCTGTCTGTTTCTTAATTAATAGAAATATTAATTATATAATTTAACATTTAAATTGTTCTATATTAATTTTTTTTTTTTTTTTAATTACGAAAATTTCTAAATCAATATATCATTGAAAATATTGGAAAGTAGTTGGTTCGGCTCCCACATTGCACAGTAGAAATCAGTTCGAAGTATAATTTTGTAATTTTGTAGTTTTGTATTTTAGATAGATATTTACGAATAAATAATTTTTGTAACAAATTGAAATTGAAAGGCATGGACAGTAAGCAGTACGTGCCAAATGAGTTGGATAAAGAATTCGAACAGTTTTGGGCCAGGGTCAGCTGCTACGCTGTGCAGATCTTTCCATACGACCAGAGATGCAATTTTGTGCAGCGGGCCAACAGTTGCGTCTACGGCACGAATGTCGTGCCCTATATTCAGTTGATGGCATGCGATCTGAAGTGCCGGAATCAGTTTGAGGAGTATGTGTATGTGTCCCTGTTTCTGGTGCTCTGCTTGGAGCTGCTCTGCTGCATGAGCTATGTTATTCATAATTTTTACGGACCAGCTCTGAAGCTGGTGGCCCGAATGATGCATATGAGCGAACATTTGGCCGGAGTTACCATAATGTCATTCGGCAACGAACTTCCCGAAATTGTTGCCAATATGTGGGCCGTGCACGACGATGACGAGCCAAACTTTGCCAATGCCATTGCAAAGGGGTTGTACTTGATCATGTTTGTCGGCGGTTTGGTCTGCTACATCAGTCCATTCAAGATGAGCGGCTCAACGACAATCCGGGATTTGCTCTTCATGGTGTGTGGCGTCCTGATGGTAGATTATTTTATCAGAACTGATAATGAGATGGATCTCAAGGAGTGTATCGCCTCCATATTGCTGTATATTATATATCTGATAGTCAGTGTGACTGACCTACTAATCCTACGCCGTACTACAAGACGTAAGACATATTTACACAAGTATTGTACTCTCTAATTTCATATTCAATTCTGTCATAACATAGAGTTGCTGAACCAAATTAATGAGCTGGAACGGTTGAATGTGGATACGAGTGTTAGGAGACCTGATTCATATAATATTCAAACAAAGATTGATTTACTGAAAAAGAAATATGATGAGCTGTCTGAGGATGGGGTTGTGGATATTTTGGCGCGTCAGTCGACCACCGTACAGAAGCCAGATGAAGCATTTTTTACATATTTGACCAGACGATCAGAGAGACATCCATCTATTAGAAGAATGAAACAGTCAGTGGCATATAGAGGGTTTCGTAACAAGAATCGTTTTCTCTTTCGACAATTCTTTAGCTCACTCCGGCCCGTTTTTATGGATGATTGGATCAAAGGGAATATATTAAAACGTACGTTTTACATTGTACGTGCACCGGTTGTGGTGGTATGCGCCATCTACATACCGTTAGTGGACTACGAGAAGGAAAGAGACGGCTGGAGTAAGCTACTAAATTGCATTCAAATATTCCTTAATCCAGCTATCACAATTGTCATTGGGTCAGCTTTGATATATCGGGAAAAATCAAAACTCTGGTATCTCAATATACCGCAATTTGCAGCGTACGGCCTTTACTCTATGGTAATAACTGTGCCACTAGCAATCATAGTGTTCATCCATTCGAACACCTCAGCTCCCCCGAAATATCATATTGCATTTGCGATCATGAATTTTACTGGCTCCGTCTTCCTAGCCATGCAGTGCTCCTATGAGTTGTCGCTCTTCACGAAGGTGATCGGTAGCATCTATGAAATTCCGTTCGATTTCATGGGTGTCACTCTGCTGGTCGTGGCCACCTGCCTGAGTGATCTTGCTATCAGCGTGTCGCTGAGCATGCAGGGATACGAGAAGATGGCCTACGCAGGCACCATTGGCACCAGCTTCCTTACTGTTGTCGTCGGTTGCACCACAACATTGCTGGCAGTCATACTCAGGGGTAACGCTGCGCATTTAAATGACGCTATGGGCAATTATGCTGACAACGCCTATGTTATTTTTATAATCGGACTCTTCCTTACTATGCTATGGACGGTGATGTTGGACTTCAATGCCAGACGCTCTGTCGGCATATTTTCCATGTCTGTCTTTGGCATATTCCTTTTGTTTGCGGTGCTCATCCGGAAGGGCATTATCCACCCGTACAGTCACGACTTTCTTGTTCAAGATGCTTATGAGACGTAGAGGCAAAAATTTACTAGTATAGTACAATTGGACAAATAAATATTAAGATATTTCTTTAATAACGTAATACTCTCTATTTGTATAATTTAGGGGAATAACGCTCTGCTAGTTTTTTTGTTGCTCAACTTTTATTATCGATGGCTTTTCTAAAAAAAAACTCAGATCTTGATAAAAAAAAATAAAAATAATTTTCTTCATCTTTATACATTTTAACACAGGCTACTTTTATTCGGCCATTAGTCCCATCATTTATTGGGCGCTCAACCATAACACGCTACGACAATCGCCCTGTGCGCCCATTATTCGCCTACGCTCCATGCAAAATTTTCTACGTTCGCGTTTTCGATCGCACACCGTACCGGCGGCGGCATCATCGACAAACGAAGCGGCATTGGGGGCATTCAATCCTAAGTTAATAAAGCTAACACCGAAGCAGTATAGAGCTCAGGCCTCTTCGCATTATCTCTACTAGTGTGTGATACTAAACTAAACTTAAATATATACATACATACCTACGTACATATATAGCATATTCTTTAATTTCCGTTCTGTCTTGAAGTGTTTTTCTCTTCGCAATTAGTTGGCAAAATGCGAGATGGCATATTTAATATACATAGATACGAATACGTATGTAAGTTCACACAGCATACTCATACACACACACACACACACACACACACACACACAGCGACACGCATTTATCATTATCCCATTATCTTCTCAATTGCCTCTCAATTCATGAAACTACAATTACACACGTTAATAGTTATTAACGTTTATTAACACAAATCGTAATACAAATTAATCGTAACAAAACTCGTTTAGTCACTCGTTTATAATGTTGTTTAGTCAATAAGCTGAAACTCTAAAAGAAATTACATACAAACATAATAATATTGTACTATGTTCCTCTTCATAGATAAGCAATAAGAAACGCTTTAAGCCAAGTTTAACAAACAAATCAAACTGAACATGATCTAAAACCAAAAACAAAAACAAAAGATATTAAACTAAATCAAATCAAATATTTAACAAATCTACGTCTATAAGAAACAGCAAAAATTAAAAAAAAAAAATATATATACATACATATATTGTATATTGTATATAAATGTGTAAAACATTCTTTCTACACTTTTTCTAACATTTTTGAAGTTCATTCAACTGAAAGATCTGTAAATCATACGCAATAGAAGATATTTAAATTTACAAGAGCTAAATGATTACCGATAATTAAAGTTATACTAACTTATATTAATGTACACCATATGTAGAAGAGTTTCTTTTAATATATATGTACTTCCTAGTTGTTACTCATATTTATGTATATCTTAAGTTTCTCCTCTTAATTTGCTCTATAGATTCTCACATTATTAGTAAGTGTTCTATTTCGTGTAGTTTGTTTTCCAAAAATTCATTAGAGCAAGCCGACGGAAATAACTATATATAACTATATAAATATACATTGTATGTAGACAGCAAATGATGAGCGCACTTATCACAAATTCTCTGGGTAAAAAGACTTTTGTCTAATTAGCAATTGCCTGTTAACTGACTGGCGCTGTTAGCTGCGTTAACATTGTGAAACTTAACATTGACATATTCATCCGTAGAAAAATCTGTTCTGATATAATTGTTTTCGAAATACTTATTTTCAAGATACTCGGTATTTTTATTATTATAAATATAATTTTGTGCTCGAAACTGTAATTAAAAGCAAAAAAATGAGGATCTATAAATTCTATAAATATTCTACTACTAGCTACATGTTTTCTTTACCAACACGAATTTAATCCTTTAATTATTGCAGATTAACAGCGAGTCGGGTGAGTATATAGAGAATAGAATAATGAATCAAGATAATGAAGACATCAAACCAGTTATCATAGCAAATTTTTATGTTATTGATGCGTTCTGGTAGTTTGATATTGAAAGTCCATCTGCAAATTATCTTTTGTATTAATCTCGACGAAGGGTTCGTTTGTACCTCAATCTCTTCGGATATCTCCCATAAGAGATCTAGCGATTATTGCGCCGTATTTATATTCAGGTTGTAAGCCACAGTCCATTAATGTCGAGCGAGTATTTAGCAGTCAACAACAATCAGATGATCATTTCATTTTTCAAAACCTGTACGATTTTTCATTCAAAATATATTCAGTTTTCAAAAGATTTCAAATGACACATAACAAACAAAAATAAAATAAAATAAAATAAAATAAAAAAATTGTTGAACTTACATTGGAAATATATACACATTACAGAATCATGACCACAGTATATCAGGAGAATGACTTGGACAAAGAATTTGAAAATTTTTGGTCGAAAGTAAATTGTTATTCGGTAATTCGATTTCCGTACGATCAGAGATGCGACTTTGTGAGAAGGGCCAATAGTTGCATATATGGCACGAACTTCGTGCCATATATACATCTAATGGCGTGCAGCTTCAAATGCCGGAATCGTTTTGAAGAACATGTCTTTGTCGGTCTCTTTATGATTCTATGCTATGTGCTGCTGCTCTGTGCCGGACACGTGGCGGATGTTTACTATTCTCCGGCATTGAAGGTTATCTCTCGAGTGCTTCATATGAACGACCATTTAGCGGGAGTCACAATAATGGCATTATGCAACACGATACCAGATTTGCTATATCAAATAACTATAGTTAATGATCGGGAATGCGTATTCGCCAATGACATAGGAACAGCTTTGTTTGTGGTAATGTTTATAGGTGGATTGGTCTGCTATGTAACAACATTTGAAATGCATGCCTTTAATACGGTGCGAGATCTGCTATTCTTAATTTTTGGCTCATTGTTATTGGAGTTGTCCTTGTATACTGACCGCACAATAAACTATCATGAGATTATAGGAATGATATTGGTGTATGTCGCCTACTTGATTGTCAATGTGCTCGACTTGATAATGATCAAGTATACTCTGAAATGTAAGTAAACAAAAACCATCGATGAACAAGATTGATTCAGTAATGATCTATGATTAACGTTCTTACCTTTCCAACCATTGATTCAGTGCTAAGGCGTGAATTACTCGAATTGAACGAAATGCCCGATTCACCTGAGCATCTTGCGAAAATCAAGTCCTTGACAGGAGAAATAAATAAACTGTCTAAGGAAGAACGCGTACAAATTTTAAAACGACGTACAACCAATCCGAGGCAACAGAATTTCACTTTCATGACGCAAGTTCCCAATGAGCATGAACAGCTTGAAATCGAACAGAAACGCGATTCACGCTATGTCGACATGAATCGGGGTCTCTTTAAAGAGTTCATCTTAGCATTCAAGCCCATCAAATTCGAAGTTTGGCGCAATGCCGGTATTATTGAACGAATCTTTCTTGTAACACGTGTTCCAGTTGTGATTATTTGTACCATCTATATACCGTTAGTGGACTACGAGGAACCAAAGAATGGTTGGTCAAAGCTACTCAATTGCATCCAAATATGGCTTAGTCCAGCTGTAACAATCATATTGGGAAAATCCTTGATTTTTAGAAGTAAGGAACGAATGTGGTATGCCAGCATACCACAGAATGCGGTATACGGTTTATATTCTCTGGTATTGACTGTCCCATTGTCCATATTTATATTCTGCCAATCGGATACGAGATCTCCGCCTAAATACCATTGGATATTCTCGATCTTAAACTTGATGGGATCCGTTTTTTTAATATTTCAGTGCACCACCGAATTAAGTGTAATGTTCGAAATGATTGGCTATCTTTACGGTATTTCAGACCAATTTATGAGCACCACGGTAATAACCGCAACCAATTGCCTTGGCGATCTAGCAACGATTGTAACTATGGCCCTGCAAGGATATGAGAAAATGGCGTACGCTGCGACCATTGGCGGTCCGTTGCTTGTCGTTCTGCTCCACTGCGGCAGCGTGATGGGGGTGAAGACAGCATTGGGCCAACACATCACATGGTACGCCATGGTTGGCAATTATGGTGGAATATTGTTTGTATTGTTCACATTAAGCTTAGCGATGACGCTTCTATGGGCATGCTTGTTGAACTTTCATGCGCGACGGTCGGTGGGGATCTTCTCCATGTCCATCTATGGTCTGTACATAATATTTGCAATTTTAATTAATATGGGCATTATTAGTCCATACGAACATCAGGTTGTAAACGATGAAATTTATAAGTATGAGGTATAATAGGAATGTATTATATTGTAATCCAAATTTTGTTTTTAACACAAATATATGTAAATTTACATTTGAATTCCATGCACACTTTAATTTGGGAGGCTAATGTAACGACTGGCCAAACTATCAAAAAAGAAAAAAACAATGTGACGTTAGGATTGGAGATTTATAGGTGGCAGGACTACCTTCATTTCTTGTAACGTAAACCTAAAATTGATTTGAATTGATATCTTGTATTCAAGAAAAAGTAAGTGTCTTTATGACCTTGGATTTGCACTTTGACTATCTTCTATAAACTGTAATCCACCTAAGTTGTACGAACTTCGTAATCGGATGCTCATTTTATTTTTAGAATTTGAAGGCATGATTTTCCAATCCAAATATATTTAGTTCACAAATAAGTTTCAAACAGAACGGCACACAAAAAAAAAACAAAAAAAAAAAAAACAAAAACAAAAAATCAAAAATAAAAAAAAAGTCCTATTCCGATTATACAGATGTACTTACATAATAAATACAAATATATTATAGGATCATGGCCACAGTATATGAGGAAAATGATATGGACAAAGAATTCGCCCATTTTTGGTCAAAAGTAAATTGTTATACCGTGGTTAGGTTTCCATACGATGATAGATGCGAATTTGTGAGAAAGGCCAATAGTTGCGTAGTTGGCACGAACTTCCTCCCATATATGCAGTTAATGGCGTGCAACTTTAGATGTGAGAATCGCTTCGAAGAACATGTCTTTGTCAGCCTTTTTATGATTCTATCCTTTGCACTACTGCTCTGCATGGGACTTGTGGCGCATATTTACTATTCTCCAGCATTGAAGGTTATCTCTCGAATGCTTCATTTGAACGACCATTTAGCGGGAGTCACGATAATGGCATTATGCCAAACTATACCGGATCTGCTATTTCAGATAACGATAGTTAATAATCGGGATTGCGTTTTCGCCAATTACGCTGCAAGCTCTATGTTCGAAGTGATGTTTACAGGAGGATTGATCTGTTATCTAACACCATTTCAAATGCATTCTTTTAATACGGTGCGAGATCTGCTGTTTTTAATTTTTGGATTAGCGCTGTTTGAGTTACAGCTGTTTACTGACGGCGAATTAAGCTATTTTGAGAGTTTGGGAATGATAATGGTGTATGTCGTCTACTTGATCATCAATGTGATTGACTTTTTCCTAATCAAGTATACTCTGAAAGGTAAGTAAGCGGAACATAGTTTGGTTTTATAATGAGCTGTGGTTCTTACCTTTCCAACCATTAATTCAGTGCTTAGGCGTGAGTTACTTGAATTGAACGAAATGGCCGATTCACCTGAGCGTATTGCGAGGAGAATGCACTTGACCAATGAAATTAATGAGCTGGCTAAGGAAGAACGCGTAAAAATTTTAAAGCGACGTACAACTCGTACGAGGCAACAAAATTTCACGTTTATGACCCAACTTCCCAATGAACATGAACGGGTCGAGATTCAAAAATATCGTACTTCTCGTTACTCGCGTATGAACCAGCATCTTTTCAGAGAGTTCTTGTCAGCTATCAAGCCGATCAATGCAGAAGATTGGAGCCATGCCAGTATGAGTCTTCGCGCCTTCTATTTAGCGCGTGCTCCAATTGTAGTCGTATGTGCCATTTATATACCGCTAGTGAACTACGAGGAACCAAAGAACGGTTGGTCCAAGCTACTCAATTGCATTCAACTATTCCTCAATCCAGCTATAACAATCGTATTGGGGAAATCATTAATTTTCAGAAATAGGAGCCAATTATGGTATAAGAGCGTAGCTGGGGATTTCATATACGGCGTATACTCTCTGGTACTGACTGTCCCATTCGCCATATTTGTATTTTTTCACTCAGATACGAGAGCTCCACCTAAATATCATTGGATATTCTCGATCTTAAACTTGACTGGTTCCGTATTTATAATATTTCAGTGCGGCACCGAACTGTGTGTAATATTCGAAATGGTTGGATATATCTATGGAGTTTCATCTCAGTTTATGAGTGTAACTGTAATAGCTATAGCCAATAGCCTGGGTGATCTGGCAACAATTATAGTAATGGCCCTGCATGGATATGAGAAAATGGCTTACGCAGCGACACTTGGCAGCCCGTTATTTGTAATTTTGTTGCACTGTAGCGGTGTGATAGTTGTGAAGAAAGCTATGGGCCAAAATAGTTCATTCCGTACAATGTCTGGAGATTATGGTGGAATATTGTATATACTGTTCACAATGGGTCTATTTATGACGCTTCTATGGACTACCTTGCTGAACTTTAATGCGCGACGTTCGGTAGGGATTTTCTCGATGTCCGTCTTTGGTCTATTCATATTATATGCGACTTTAATCAATAAGGGAATCATCAGTCCCTTCAAACATGATGGATTAGTCAACGATGCCTTTGGTAATCATTAGAGCACTTGATAATTTATTATGTAATAATTTAAATTTTTGTTTTCAACACAAATATATTTATATATCAGTAAAATTTCGCACATTTCCGTTTAAGATGTGGTTGACATTTTAAGGTAACGTTGCCAGTTTAACATATTTCAGACTAGATCTAAATAAATCCATTGGAAATGAGTATGGAATGGAGTAGCCCCAACTTGAGACAGACTTTGCAGAAGTCCCAGCTCCTAAGAGAACTAGATCAGAAGAACCTGCTGTCTATGTCATTTAATAATTGTAAATATTAAGGTACATAAATATTAAGGCTATTCAACATATGTAATGAGGTAATTCTACTTCACTATGAGTGTTTTTTCCCTACATGTCTATATATCTGGCTTACAGTCTGTCTCCTAAGAAAAGCAAGGGATGAAGAACTACAGAAGATTATTTATTTAAAGCTTGACTGCAACGACACCTACCGCACCCTGCTGTTCGAGTGAGAGTCGCCCTATATAAAGGGCAGCAGCTGCAGCACTTCTTTAGTCGCCCAGGCCTGGTAGAGGTCAGTCGTGCAGTGCAGTAAAGTTAGTGAAGAGGAAATACTTGAAGGAAATACCTAGAAGAGATATTGTACTTGAAGGAAATGACGTACGCAGCGTACTTGGAATTGGAGGACATACTTGAAGGAAATATGTATTTAGCTAACCCTTGTAAGTTGCAAAATAAAGCTGCTTTAATTTAAAAAGTGACCAAAGAATCTGAAATGAAACGGTTTGCAGTTTAGGTATTAATAATTTAAATCTGTCAACAGGTTTCTAAAAATTATAGTGATCCTAAAATTGATACTTAGTTCTGTAATTGACACATTAAAGATATATAAATTGACCCAGGCTTAATCCGTAATGTGTGCAGCTGAATCTGTTCCTCCAAGTTTGAGCAGAGACTTAAAATTATTATGAATTATTGGATAAAGAGAACTTTACAGTTTATTTGCAAATTAAATGAAGTATATTTAATTAGCTATAACATAATTTAATTTGTGGCGCGCTTTGACTGCTGCGCATGCTGTTGCATTCGCTTCTCAATTTCCGGCCTAAAGTGCCGAATGAGTCCTTGCACGGGCCAAGCGGCGCCATCACCCAATGCACAAATCGTGTGTCCCTCAATCTGTTTGGATATCTCCCACAGCATGTCTATCTCAGAGGGCTGGGCATCGCCTTTGACAAAGCTACAAAGAAAATGCCAAATATAACATATACTTGGTTGATTGTCAATTTCAAGGTCTTACCGCGTCATAATCTTATTCATCCAGCCAATGCCCTCACGACAGGGAGTGCACTGGCCACAACTCTCGTGCTTATAAAAGGAAATCAAGCGCGCAATCGCCTTAATTACATCCGTCGACTTGTCCATCACAATGATAGCAGCTGTGCCCAGTGATGTCTGCGCCGCAATCAAGCCATCGAAATCCATGATCACATCATCGCAAACCTTACGTGGTATAATGGGCGTCGATGAGCCACCAGGTATAACGCCCAGTAGGTTATCCCAACCACCAATGACACCTCCGCAGTGCCGTTCGATTAGCTCTTTAAGTGGTATGGACATCTCCTCCTCGACGGTGCAAGGCCGGTTCACATGACCAGAGATATTGAAGAGCTTAGTTCCCGAATTACGGGTACGCCCAAAGCTAGCAAACCAATTGCCACCGCGACGACAAATGGTGGGTGCCACTGCCACAGTCTCGACATTGGTCACCGTGGTAGGGCAGCCAAAGAGACCCACATCGGCGGGGAATGGCGGCTTCAATCGTGGCTTACCCTGCTTACCCTCAAGCGATTCAATCAGCGCGGTCTCCTCGCCGCATATGTAAGCGCCTGCGCCGCGATGCATAAATACATCAAAGTTATAGCCACTGCCGCAAGCATTCTTGCCAATCAAACCAGCTTGATAAGCCTCGGCTATGGCCAACTGCATGTTAGAAGCCTCGTTGTAGAACTCGCCTCGTATGTAAATGTACGCAGCCTGTGCACCCATAGCGCGACCAGCAATTAGACATCCCTCGACCAGCTTGTGTGGATCGTGGCGCATAATCTCGCGATCCTTGCAAGTGCCTGGTTCGCCTGCAGACGAAAAATGTATTAGTCTTGTTTCAACAATGCCTGTCAATATGTCTGGCCACTCACCCTCATCAGCATTTACAACTAGATATTTGGGGCGTCCATCGCCGGGCTTATTCATAAATGACCATTTCATGCCGCTGGGAAAGCCAGCTCCACCACGTCCTCTCAATCCAGAGGTCTTGATCTCATTGATAATCCAGTCAGGGCCCTTCAATACAATCTCCTTGGTCTTGTACCAATCGCCGCGCTTCTGTGCACCCTTCAACCTCCAATCATGACGACCATAAAGATTGGTGAAGATGCGATCCTCATCTGCCAAAGGGCCAAATTTGGTTTTTGTTTGTGGCGGCGGAGTGCCTGGTGGTGGTGCTTGGGTGCTCTGCAAGCGCAACTGTACTGCGCCCGGCAGCGCAGCCACTGCAAAATAATGCAATTTATATAAATCAATAGTACTTCAGCAATGCGCAATTTTTTTTTGTTTTGTTGTGCGCAGAAATTACATAATTTGTTTGGAACACAAATTTTGTAACATGCCAGCTGGCTCCGATTTAACTATCATGCCTGTCAACTTAACGGGTTACCCAATTAAACATTTACACCACACTATAAGTCTACAACGTTGTGTATTTACCAAATTGTGGTTTTGTTAACAAATTATATCGCACAATTGCAGCCATTTTCGCTACGACACGACTGACAGCTGACAGCTGACAACTTGACATTTGGCCGCAGCGTTGCCACATCTCGGAGCTGCCACTTAAGAGTAAAAATTATCGATTAATGCACCTGAAGGGTTAGTCTGCAGCTGATCCCCACTATTATTTTCTTTGTTTATTTTGCAAAAATGGCTCAAGTACCAATCAGTAATAATAATACTGATGGTACCAAAACAGAAACCTTAGAAGAAACCGATAGCGCTACACAACAAGCAGAGGCAGCCCAAAGTGCACCCACATTGCTGCTGCGCCTTGAGCATCCGAGAGATGAACGCCGGGTAGTCTTCCACGATGGTGTCATCGACAACGAGCATATGAATCGGATGAAGTCCAAATGTAAGTAAGACACACGACTCGGGTATACTTTATATAATTGTTTATGTACTCTATATAAACAGGCTGTTGCATATATCGTAAACCCTTGGCTTTTGGCGAAAGCTCGTCGGACGATGACGACGAATGTGAACATTGTTTTGGTCATCCCGAGAAGCGCAAGAAAAATAGGAAACCACCTACTGATGAGTCATGCGCTGTTATTAGAAGCCCAGATCAGCCATCGACATCTGCTGAAGCGCAAACGGAAGCAAAATCAGAAGCATCAAAACCTATCACTGAAGGGATTACCGCACCAGTGCCAGATTTCGAGACGACAGTGAAGCCTTCCTTGTAGACCACGATACCAAAAACTTGGCAACAACAAATCCACAACAATAATTCAATTAAGTACATTTAACATTTTAACAACCACAAAACAATCTGCATATGCATACACTCAATCATTAAAAGCTAACACCAAAATGAGCAGTTTATATAATAGATAATATGCATATGAACGAAATTTTGTTGATGGCTCACAAATGGGACAGCACAGGTACACAAAGGAACAGAACAGTTGGCTCAGTTTTTGGGCTTCAGCAGAAACGATTCGCTGACATTAAGAGGGATATTGTGTGCCTTGGCCTGGGCACGCGAACGCCAAACCTAATTTAACGAAGTAAATCATTAAATGCAATTGAAGATTTTTCATATTTACCTTAATTGTATAATCGTCGCTGGTGGTCACCAACATCTGAGAGTCTTTCGGATTGAACGCCACACTGTTGACCACATCTGTGTGCTTAAACTTGGCCAAGCTAATTCCGTAATAGCGATCCCATAAATAGGCATGCTGATCCTCAGCACCGCTGGCCACATATTCCTCGCAAACATCGAGGAATATGAAAAAGCATTCTGTACTGGGCGTATAAGCTTTGTGCGCACGCAACATATTGCCCACACGCTTGAGGGTCATCAAATCGATCACATGTATATCGATCTCCTGGGCGATTGGTGGCGGCTCTAGCGGATTCGTTATATTATAGTTTTTCGGCCAGGGTCGCGTATTTACATACAAATATCGATGATCGGGACTGAGCGCCATGCCTATAATATGACCATGCAGATCAATTACTTTGTCTACCTGATCGAATCGGCCCTTGACAGACTCGTAGTCCCACCAATCGGGATCGTTGCGCGGTGCCTGTTGCTGCTGCTGTTCGGCAGCTCGCTTGGCTGCGATGCGCTCTTTGAGGGTCGGCCCGGGATCCAGTTTCTTGGGAAAGAAAACGTTGCGTATGCGCTTGAATCCAATTTGATGGGGCGTAAAGGTTTTCGACCCAGTCGAAAAGATTAGGTACTTGGGTACACTGTTCTCCATTTCATCGTATTCATCTGGCAGTTCTGAGCACGACTCGTATTCTTCGTCCTCATGGTCAGTGTCTAAACCACTGGAAGTAGCTGCTCGTCTATACTCCTCCAGATAGTGAATGGTAGCATCTGAAGTGTGTCCAGGACGTGCACGAGATCTGCGCATCTGACTGTGCTCACTTATGTCTGGCAAATAATTATCTTCGGGCGTAGCACTGCGTGTGCGTCGCAAGCTGAACGGATTGCCACTGGCTAGTGAGGAGGAGGCAGATGTGGAGAGCTCATCAATAGACGAAGTAGCAGTAGCAGCAGCAGCAGTGAGTGCCACCTGCTCTGGCTGTGCCAGCGGATCGTTCGTGTCATCCAGCCATGGACATCTGGCCACCATAATGGCGCGCACGGAGCTGGCATTTCGATTGTAGAACTTATACAGCTGACTCATGATTGGCACATGCTCCGAGTCGATCTCCTGATTGGCTTTGTTCAACCACAGCACCGAGGTGCTCACCAAATGTGCAAGCCAATGCAGATCACCCGACAGCAGATACTGATCACTGAACCAGGTGCCGAATATATCGTATGGCCTATTCACGACTCGACAGCGCAAATGAGATTCCGTGGCGCCTAAATAGAAGACAGCTATTTCACCAGAAGTGCTCTGTGGCGAGCCGAAATGCACCCCCGATACCAAGAGCAAGGTGTCGCTCTGATTGAACTGCGAATATTGGGTATATTTCCAGCTAAATTGCTTCATATTGTGCGCATACTTTTCTATATATATTGGAAAGAGTGTGAGAGGGTGTGCGTCAGTGACCTTCATTTAGCTTACCTCAGCTTAATTTAATTGGCTCACCTGTGCATGGATGCTGGGCATTCCATATAATCACATAGCCGTCCTTAGAGCAGGTGGCGAACATTTCGCCATTGTGTGCAAAGCTTACATGCAGTACCTGGTGCGTGTGACCGTGATTGAACTCCACGCTCGGCTCTAGACGCTGAGCCTGCACAAAGGGAATCTCTGTGCTCAGACGTTGGTATTCACTGCGCCAACTGGTGGCGCCGGGCTTAAGCGGTATGCTAGGCGAGGCTCGGAAATGTTGCTGAAACTTCTGGCGCCACAATAAGTCGTCATTCGAAATTGTATTCCAGCGACGGCAGGCTAAACCCGCCTGCATTATATCCTGTACACTGAGACGCATAAAAATCTCCAACAGAGCTGGTTCGGGCAGTGCCCACCAGCCAAAGTCATTCGCTTCATTTTCTTCGTCCGCCTCAGCAGCAACATCAGCAGTAGCAGCTGTGTTTGCACTAGTGCCCAATCGTGCCTTTTTGAAGGTCAGTTCCATTTGATTGTCGAAAAAAAATATTTAGCGGTAGCCTAGTTTCGTAAAGCTTCCAATTGCTGGGGCTCCGCAATAATAACTGCAGCAGTTAAAACGAAATAACTGGTTTTATATTTGTTGTTTTTTTTTACGTTATCTTCGTTGTTTGTTGTTGGTAAATTCGAACTTAGCGTTATTGAAATTGAAAATAACTTTCTCCGTTGTGTTTCTTTTTTTTTGTTTTTTGTTTTTTTTTGTTTCTTGTTTTTGTTGTTGCAGAGCGAGAGAAACAGCTGTCAAAAGCAAACGCTCATCTCTAGGAATGCGCTCATCTCTGAATATGACAGCTGCTTTTGTTTGTTATCGAAATCGAAAAATTTAAATCATCATAAACAATAACAACTGTTTGCCAAACAAAATACCAGCAATGTTTCGCTTGCAATGCGTAAGGAGGTGCATAATTCGATTGCGTGTTGTGTTTATTCAAATATAATTATAAGAAATATTGTTTTATTTTAGCGTGTTGCATATGGTGCGCAACTATTGCCTGAAATCGCAAAAGAACGCTGTGGTTATTGCGGCTGCTGTGCGCACGCCCAATTCCTTGGAATGTGGCGATGAAGAAGATCAATTGGCCGGCATGGTGATCGATGAGCTGGTGAAACGCACATCAGCGCCGCGGGATGAATTCAAGAAGCTAATCATTTGCACTTCCAGTGAAATAGTGAACAACGATTCATTGAGCAGCGTCGCCAAAGCTCTGGGTCTAAAAAGCTGTCAGGCGCATACCATAAAAAACGCGGCGTGCTCCGTCAGTGGACTGGAAATGTCGCTGGAGTGCTTGCAGCAGGACGAAGCTGGTTGGATCATATTAGGCGATACGCGTGCAAACATCAAACACGAGGAAAAAGATGATATACTACACAGCGAATTGTTGACAACTGCTAACAATTGGTTTAGAAAAGCTCGAGATAAAGTAAAAAAGGAGTCGCTATCGACTGTATGTCCAGGCGCTGCTGCTGTTGCCTTAACTACGGCCAAAACAGCAGAGCGCCTGCAACTGCAGCCGTTGGCAATTGTGCGTGAATTCTTCATGGAACAAGACAACGAGCACGCTATCTTCCGCTTGGCCGGTAGTCAGCCAATACAGCTAACGGATGTCCATAGCTGGGAACTAGTTATCAACAAGGAGCTGAAGAAGCAGCTGGGCACGCTAGTAGAGCTGGATGTGAACGAAGTACGAACGCATGATTCTCGACAAATAACCGCCAGCCACTTATTGACTCACACAGTTCATGCTCTGCCCGCTGGCAGTCTTGGCTGCGTCATTATGGAAGCCAGCGACGGACGATGTGTACTAATGGTGCTCGAGAAAATGTAAATATATCTAATTCTATTTCGTAATCCAATTGTGATTGAATGTATATATTTCATTTTTAGCATACCTGCACCCAATCTACCGGAGAGCTTGCCGCAACTAACGCTCTACACAAAGGAACCATGCCCACTTTGTGATGATCTAGTCAAGAAACTAGAGCAGAACTTTGCGGGCGAATTCGAGCTGAAGAAAGTCTTTATCGATCGCAAAGAGAACGTGCGATATTTGCGACTATTTCGCTATGACATACCCGTGCTATTTCTAAATGGACAATTTCTTTGCATGCACAGCCTCAATGAGCCGGTGCTGCGCGAAAGACTGAATGCCCTGAAGGCCATCGGCGTTAAGCAAAAAAAGAAAGCATAGTATAAAAAGGACGCACGCAGTTGATTATTTATGTTATTGATTCGTATATATATTTTTGATAAATCAAATTGCAAGTGTAGCTTAAAAAAGTTCACCCATTGGCTTAATAGTTATTTCGTGTATCTGCAAAAGCTCAATTAATTAATATCGAATGAGAAACCTATGTGCGAATTCACTCACCTGGACGTGCTGAGGTGTTCTTAGTGCATAGAGCACCGCATCGGCTATATTTGAGGGATCTAGTCTTGCCATATCCTTAACATAGAAATGTATTTCCTCGGGAAATATATTCGTATTGACTGCGCCCGGGCAAATCCCCGTCACACGTACTTTGCTCTTGTGCAGCTGAAATTCCTGACGATATGTTTCGGTCAGAGCTGTGATGGCAAACTTTGTGGCTGGATAGATGTTGAACGATGGCAATACATCAATGAAATTCAACACCTGCTGACCCGCAATGCTGTTGATGATCACCACATGTCCTTCTACATCGCGCTTCAGCATGTTGTTGAAGGCTGCCCGCGTACACCAAATAACGCCCATGACATTTGTATCGATGACCTCTTGCAGCTTTTTCGTATTGCCCGGCGTCACAAGCTCCGTTTCGCGAGTTATGCCCGCATTGTTTAAAAGTACATCCGCACCTTCCAGCTCACGTTCGATCCAGTCGAATGTGCTCAGCACCTGCTCCTCCTTGGATATGTCACAATATCGTGGTATAAAGTTTTTCTGCAAATCTTTAGGTAAACTCTCCTTAAGCTCCTTCAATTTGGCCTCGCGTCTCGCCAACCCGACGACGCGCAAACCAGCGCCAATCATAGCACGAGCACAGGCAGCTCCAATGCCGCCACTGGCACCGGTAACAACAGCCAGCTTGTTATGCCAACGCTCCATGATGCAATGAAAGCGAATCGCCGATGTTAGCATTGTGTATTGCACATGCTACACTTGGAGAGCTTCATTTGGCTTCTGGCTTCTGTCACTCCCTTGTAGGTTAATCCCTTTAGGGCACTTGTAAAAACACAAATTGACAAAATTGAATGCTAAGTTTCTTTATTTGTTTGGTCTACATGCATGCTAATAACTTTTCATCATATTCTCAATAATAAAGTATGACTATGGTTTTTTTTTCTAATATTCTATAGTCTCTATAAAGCGTTCTGCTTACAAATGCTCCGATTATATATAACTATATATTTGTGATTACTATTGATAACATATAAATATATACTATAAGTACTTAAACAAATTGTAAATTTGTTGCCAAGCATATTTGTTCTTAATGATTAACTACACACATATTGTGTACTTTTATATTAAGGACATTTTAATTATTTACATTGTATCTTAACACAATTATATGTATATATATTTAACAAGTATTTCAGTCTATGATCGCTTCAATTGTACTTTTTCATATTTGAATAATATTTCGCTTATCTTCTCTCTAGCCTCCAAATTAAGATCCGGATCCAGCTTATCCAAGCATTGACCAACATATTTGCTATAGTAATACGAACGGGACTCTTCGCTTTTATTAAGTTGACTGGCTAGCGCGTTCGTAGGCAATTTATTCACATTGTTCGGTACGCTTTGGGGCACAGTATTCTCCGATCCATCTGCCAACTCATTATTTTTCCTGCGTTTTGTTTGCGGTGAGCCTGGTGGCGACTGATGTAGTTCATCCACATTGGCATGCGATTGCTTACAATCATTTTCCTGAGGTTCTTGATTTGAAACTTCCATTTCCGATTCGCCATTGGAATCGGATAAGCTGGTCGTTGTATCGAACACCTACAAGAACATATCTTATTAGAAGTAGTTACAAATATAAGCTATGTGAATTTAATACCGATTGTTCGTTATTGTTAAACGCATTTACCGCTATTTGAGGCAAGCGCGTGCCAATCAAAAAGCTCATCTTCGAGCTATACTTCCAGCCGCCGCTGATCTCATCGCCATCCGAGGTGCCACCGTTATTTTTTATCTTAACGGACTTCACTTCCGCTTGGAAATATGTACGTAGATTGTTCCATTTCTTGAAACAATCATCTAACAATAAACAGAATAATATGATTGAGTAAATACAAATTCAAATTCAATCTTAAATATTTAACTTCGTTACTTCTTGTAAACGGTGTCCTTGGATTTAGAGCGTTATTTATCTTGTCTGCAGCAAGTTCCCAAAATAATGCTTTCTTGTGCTTCTTCTTAAAATCGGGTACAGAACTATTCCAAACATAGGAATTACTTTTAACCAAATCAATTAAATAGTTGACTTCTCCTTCGCGCCAGTTGACCATTCTTTGCCCTAAAATAATCAAACAACAATAAGGTGTGCTAAAATGTATACACAAAAATGCACTTAAAAATCCCACACAATTAAAATACGGCAAGTCGATGCGTATTCCAATTGGAAAATCTTTAAAATAAAAAAATCTGCGAGTTTTAAATCAAAATTTCTCTGAATATTAGATCTTACCCCGATGAAATCTGAAAAATATTAAATTCTAAATAAGTTTATATTATAAAGTGAGGACTTAGCACTGCTTACGGCTTTGGACGATGCTGTGTTTGTTGGTTGTGCTCCCACTGCAATTCCATTTTCTCTACAATATTAATATCAGGCATCTCATTTTGCTCAATCTTCACAAGTCCAATATCAATATCGCCAGCAAGCGGTTGTTTTATATTGTACGACACTTTGTTGTCCTCCATTTGTTCCTAGTCGCAATTCCTAAATTCCTCGATCAAAGTTTTACAGAACCGAATATATTTACGGCTTAATCTAATATATAACATCAGGAAGCCAGTTCCTGTTGTATTCCTTCTACTCCGTTATCAAGCATAAACAAAAACAATAAAGGCAGCAAAGCCATAACTTTCAGTTTTTAATAACTAAAAATAAAATAAATACACAAAGTTCTGGCTACACAATTTTACTTTGACTGGGAGATGCCAACTTGTTTGAGTATCATATGAGCAACAGCTGCTGTACTTTAAAACAAAAATTATTTAAATCTTTTTATGAATTAATGTATAATAGTAAATACTTATATTTATGTAATCTCGTGTAATTAAAGTATTGTGGCAACGTAAATTAAAACATATAGAGCTAATATTTTAATCATTTAATCGTGCATGTAAATATACACTTTTGCATTTTAGATATATCGTTTTAATATCCTATCGACTTACCTCCTCGAATTACTTATCCATCTACAAAACTCCAAAGCTGAACGCAGGTGTTTAAATTTGTGAAGAATTACTGCTTAAAACGAAAACTTAACCAAAAACATAACAAAGGCTAAAAGCTCAACTACAAAATGGCACAAATGGATTTAGAGTTGAAGAAGGTAAGTGACCCCACAAGTTAAATGCAACAAAGCAACTGCCGGTAGGCAGCGCGTGGTGCACCCAGGAAAAAATACACTCATTCGTGCCCTAACCCAACCCCTCCCCCTCTAATAGGCCTTCACGGAAATGCAAATAAATAAATTGGAAACGACGAAAAAAATAAGCATGATTGACATGAAATGCGACATGGTGAAAACGGGCAAACAAAAGTATTCACTAACAGAGAAAAGCACCAGCAATCTAACTGATGACACCAGGTGAGTTAGTTCTTAGGGATTTGGAATCTGGAATCTAGGAGCTGAGCATCTAAACTAATATAAAATACATTTCAACAGGGTCTACATGTCGGTTGGTCGCATGTTTCTGTTAACTGATTTGGATAGTATGCGCAATGAGCTGAAGGCCAAACAGGATAAATGTGATAAAGCCATCGAACTGCTCGAAAAGAAAAAGGAATTTCTGCAAAAGTCACTCAAGGATCAGGAGGACGGACTACGTGAACTGGTGCAGCAGCGCAAGGAAGCGGATGTACTAGCTAAATAAGAAACACAAACACACTCACAGTTTCAATTTTCAGTCGTCGATCTACCATGTGTTATTTATTTACAATATAATGGTCAAAATTAAAGTTAGCATAACTAACAAATTCATTGCCCAAATTTCGTTCATGTTCCGGTCGAAATTCACATTTGTGCAAAGGCAAACAGGCGAGCAGCCAAGGCTCAACTACTTCACCGGAACAGAAAACCACTTTGGACGCTCTGTTGCGCTGCAAACTAAGTATTATCCGTGACATCTTAGTCATGCAGTCCTCGGACAGAAATGGTGGATCAGCAATGATTAAATCGTAGCATTTGTGATACTCGACTAAGTAGTCCGCGGAAACTTCATTGAAATCATAATGTACAAAATCAGTTCCATAGGCAGCGAAACGTTGATCATACTCAAAAATGTTAACTGAAAGAGAAGTTCACGTATACACAATCAGTTATTTACAAAATCCACCTATCTTTTTTACCTTGTTCATGAACATCCTTTACGGTTGCGTAAAGCGATGGACAGGATAATAAAGCTATGCGAAAATCCGGTGTATTATGTTCCTGAACTATTTTAGCTACTGCAGCGCCAATAGCTTGTTTCGTTTTCTCACTGTACCAAAATTGACTAAGTTGCTGTAAGGATGGACGCTTTTAGATTAAGCACACAAAACATTTGCCTAAGCCCTTTACCCAATCTTCCTCGAAATGTGCATCCTTTCCTGTTTTGTTTATCATGCGCTGCTCCTCTTCATGTTCACGCTGTGTTCGTTCTGCCAGGAACTCATTAAGTATAGCTAATGTATCTGCAGGTAATGTTATGTCATCATTGTCCATACTTAGATTTATTAAATCTTAAATCCATAAATAATAATAACAAATAAATGCGGTAGCTGTTTAGCAATGTGCTTAAGCAGTATGTACACACTGATAAAAGCAAGAAATAAAATGTACCACTGTATATTTATCGATACACTTGAGCGTCTGCTTAGTATTTATCGATAGTTCATTTAATCGCAAGTCTATGTCGACACATTTATTTTATTTAATTTAATTTCGTATAGTTAAAGAACGCTGTGCGTTAGCTGCTTTTTGCGGGTAAGTTTGCATTGAGCATTCAACAACACCTTCTAAATGAGAAATAAGTGAAAAAAGTGCGTCTATCAAGTTTCGTAAGTAAATTTACAACTGCAGTAGCGTTCGCGGTAGTTTCATTAGTGTTGGTGAGAAAGAGGCTCCAAATTGAAAAAAAAGTGCGCCTGGTGCAATGGTTAATAACCCAATTTTCCCATAATGTACACACGCTGCTGTATATACGGGTTGCTTATTTATTTATGTGCTGCAGAGAATGTGCTGGTCGCTGATCTGCCTGTTTGTATCTATCTTTGCTTTGCTTTGCCGGCTGCTGCTACGTGTTGCCCAAATTTAACGAAAAAAAAATAGGAAGTCGCTAATTTGGGGCTTTGTTTTCTCCGCCTTTATTTCGGTATTCATTTGGCAACAAGTGCACTTTGGAATAACTTTTGAGTTCTGGTGTATCATTTGATGCTTATATCAAAGTTTAGAAAGAGTTCAACTAAAGTCAATCAGCGCAATAAAATGTCACACACTCATACAGACACACACACGCATTGAAGCGCGCACCTTGTTCCCCAATTCGGCTGTACGTGAGTGTGTGCTTCAGTGTATGTCACTGACGTGTTCCTCGTGGTGCCAACATGTGACGTCATATATTTATGCACATTTACATAGATTTCATCACATTCCACTTGACTTAACAACAAATTATAATATTGATACCAAATTTCAGTTTTCGATTGACCTCAGTCCCAAAATGTGCTGCATATTAAATGAATAATTATCTAGCGCTTAGCTTGACCTAGTTTCCTGTCCCTGTCCATTATTGTATTTTTAAGAAAGGACATCATTTACTAAAATCAATATTTGTACTCGACCCATCAATGTGAATATCAAATTATTGGCCCTTAATGACCAGCTGGTGTCAATAACGTTTCAAACCACCTGCATAATATTATCAATATTGTTGGCATAGCCAAAAAAAGGCTAGTTTGTTTTCAGCTAAATTTCAATGAAAAGTAGCTTGAATTTGGCTTAGCCGAAAATTCGAATGGAAAATAGCTAAAGTGTGAGTAAGCCTGGTTTCCGCTATCAGTTGTGCGATCAAAACACAAGCTAAAAGTGCTAATTTATTTTCTGAATGATGTTTTCCCAGACTAAAGTCGCTTATGCAGAGGCGCAAGTTGTTGATAAAAGTTGGCTAAAATGTGCACAACTCGGTTATTGAAACGCAATATCATAGTCTAAAATAGCTAGGTAATTAAATAACTAAATTAAACTTTGCCTTGACAGGCAGTAAACCTTTTGGTTTTTTTTTGTTTCATTGACTGTGTTGAAAAAAGAAAGTGGGAGAAAGGTACAAAACAAAAAATAGATATGCTGAAGATATCTTTTAGCTGTTTTCAGCTCTTGAAGTAAAACATCATTTAGGTATTTAAATTAAAGGCAATTGCCTCTGTCAAACATAAAAAATAATAAACTAAAAATATTTGAATAGATGAAGTTTGTTGGATAAAGTCTAATGACTCTCAAAATTAACGCAAAACGTACACAAAAAAGCCAAATGAAGTCAACACTGTTCATAATTTCAACAGTTTTCCGCCAGTTTTCAGTTACGTTTCCTGCCCACGTTACGCCGTCGCACTTTTCTATGCACTCTCACTGTGTCAGCTCCTCTAACTCTGCCCTCTCTCTCTCTCTCTTTCTGCTTTAACGCCCCCTCTCTGAGTGTTGTTCGTCTGCCACCTGTTTGGCCTCTTCTAACACACACACATACATGTGTGCGTGAGTTTGGTTATTTTGACGTGTATTTCGTAACAACATGCACATTGCGGTTACTCTCTTGTCAGTGGTTTGGGCATCGACTCAGTCCGCTTTGTTAGTCGCTGAAGTTTACCTGGTTCGTTCGCTCATATCGTAAACTTGAATAATAGTTTTTTCTTTTTTTTTGTTTTTTAAATTTCACTTAAAGATTAATTTAATTGCTGTGCACCATTAAAGTCATGCGCTAAAACGATTTAACTGTTTTCATACGCTATAAGAAATATTCAAATAGAAATTGAAGCAAGGGGTCATATGTAACCTTATGCAAGTACATATATACACACTCACACACACACACAATATATAGAGAAGCCAAGTTACATTTGTTGTTTCACTTGGCATGTTATTGTTGTTACTGTTTTGCCATTCCTGCACACGAGTTGTCTGCCGTTTGCCACAGAGCCAAACATTCACGCCTCTGTGGCAATGCTCAACACGCCTTGGACATTAAGTGTTTATGTGTTTGTGCTTAACTTTCCATTCAACTGGTTTTTTGTTGTATTTTGGTCTTACGACACACAATACTTTTGTCTATGTAATTTACAATTAAAAGCGCGTACCATTAATACATAAAACAAAACAATGCCGAAAAATGAAGAACAGTTGAGCTGGATCAGACAAAACTTAAATACACTGCAATTAAATTTGATCATTAACTATCTCGGACATTTACTAAACTGGACAGTTGATTATTTTTTAAATAATTAAAAATTCTCCGATTTCTTTTTGGTTTTGCGTACCTCATTGGTATAGGCTAAGCCCGAACACAGTAAATTTTTTATAAATAATTAAATATTTTCCTCTATAAACGCTGCTAAAAAAAAAATTACAAATTTATAATTTTCTTTTGTTTAATTTATTTTTGTAATAGAAAAAATAAAAAACGGGCTTACTTTCAAGATTTATTGTGTCATTCCCATTCCCATGCAAATTCAAAATTCTTTTGCTACCTCACACATATTTAACCCTATATTTATTGAGCCAACCTCGCAGTATCAACTAAATATTCGCCATTTATCATGACACTGCAATACACGCGATATGTAATGGCGTTTAAATAACAAATGATAAATACCTACATACATATGTATATAACTCAGCAAAATACTTCAAAAGTCAACTTTCCAATACAGTAAATATTATGTATAAAGTTTTTGGTATTCATGAACTTCTTGAGTTTTTACTGCAAATACACTTATTATACCTACATATTTATATATGTATCAGTTTTGTGGCCGGGAGCGCACACATAACGTTTATCAGCGCGGCGATTAGCGAGACATTGATAAGCAGCGCACTGTTTGCCTTAATACCAAATGATAAGGTCTGCTTCTAATGGTCTTCATTTCATATTTTTACATTTGCAGACAGAACTCTAGCAAACGGAGCAGAACACTTACTACAGGCATAATGAGTGCGACAACCGAGCAACAGAAACAGACGAGCTTTGACAACGCTCAGGGTGATGGACAGCCCAGTTCGTCAGCCTCATCCTCATCACAGCCACAAGGACAACAGGAGCAACAGCAACCGCAAACATCACAAAATGCACCGGCAAAGCTATTGCAGCACTTTCAAACAAATCGCATCGACTCGGCTCTGTGGGCGCTGCGTCTGCTTGTCATCTTTTTTACCGTTAGCTATGTGTTGCCCATATTCACGTGAGTATATATGTGTATATATACCCGAAAAAACCTATATGTAATTAATGATATCTTCATTATATCTAGTCTTCATGTAGCAGAGATTTGCTCTGAGTCATTTAATTTTATGAGGAGCGCATAGAAAGACGATTTATAGCAGAGCGAGGCAATGTGAGAGTCAGCATTGCAAGGATTAAGAGTAAATCAAAGGCGAAATTGAATTGAGATAAAATAGAAGCAAAACTGATTAACAAGTTATTAAGTGTTGTAAGAGATATTCGTTTGTTCGATATTCGATAGATAGAGGGGAAAGTAAATAACCAACAGAACCAACACTCAAAGAGAGAATCACATAGAAGAGTTGAAACAACAAATTTAAACTTAATCTCAGAGCTCTATTTTCCTAATACTATGCTCTTAATATAGGAAACTCTAGCTTATATCCACTTATATATAACCTTATGTTTTTCTCTAAATACTAATTCTTTACACTCTCTTACATCTCCATTAACAGCTCACAACAGAGTTCTTTCAACAAGGTTCTGCTAGCGAATGCAGCCATCTCCGCGCTGCGTTTGCATCAGCGTGTGCCCGCCTTCTCGTTCAGCCGCGAATTCTTGGCTCGTTTATTTGCCGAAGACTCGTGTCATTATATGATGTACTCGTTGATCTTCTTTAGCATTCGTCCCACTCTGCTGGTGCTCATACCCATTGCGCTCTACTCAGTGCTGCATGCGGCCAGCTACTCGCTCAAGCTATTGGATGTGAGTATATATGGTTCTATTATGTGAGCAGCATTACATATATATATAATGTTTTTGCCTTTCAGCTGATTGGTCAGAATTCTTGGTGGGGCGCACGTTTCATTATCTCAATTGTGGAATTCCAGGCATCCAATATACTAAAGGCTACCGCATTCTGCGAGATTTTCATTATGCCTTATGCCATTGTGTTAACTTTTATGTGAGTTGATTAATTATATGTATATATATATATATATTTGGATCGAACTTTGAGGCAATAATCCCTAAAGCTAAAAGCTGCAATCAGTTAATGCATCAACATTGTATTTTTATACAATTTTAATTGCAAATTCAATGCGCGTATAATTTGATTCAAAGCTTCATGTATCCGTGTATACATACTTATTTATATATTTTATTTCATATTTTGCTAATATCTCTTCTTGTTTTCTAACAGGGCTCACGCTAGTTTGATGACTCCAATCATCTACTATCATTATCTGGTCATGCGTTATAGCTCGCGCCGTAATCCCTATCCCCGCACTGCTTTTGCCGAGCTACGCATTACCTTTGAGGCGCTGGCAGCTCGTTCTCCACCCGCAGTTGGCAAGATCATTCGTGGAGGTATTGGATTCGTCAGTCGCCTGGCTCCACAGCCGCAGCCAGCGCCGGCGCAGTAGAGCCCAGAACATAACTAACAATAATCAAAGAGACAAGCAAACAGCAACAATACATCATAAGCTAGCTAAGTCTACTTTAAACACATATACAGAGAGATACCCACAGCTGCACACACACACCCACATACAATTACACACACACACACACTGCTTCACAGAGTGTAGGTTCCATCCATATTCATTTCGTTTGCTTTTATCTATCTACCAAATTCGCGATGAACGATTTGTTCAATATAAAAATTTATAGTTTATTTTAGACATTTACATTTTGTCAAAATTTTACAATTTGGCTGAATTATTAACTGTTGTTTTATCTACTTTATTACTATGTTGTTGTAATTATTCGTGTGCATCGTATCGTATTATTAACATTAGTTCAAATTTTTAAATATGATTTACGAGTTTGCTTGCAAGACACAACAAAGCGAATAAGCGTAATAATGAGAGAGGATTACGAATCAATGTGCGTTATACGATATAACAGCTATATCTATATGTTTATATATGTATATATATACATATTTTTTAATATTTCTTAAGATATAAAGTGAAGATCAAGCAAGTTGAAAATTCAATAATAATAAAAGAAGGAGAATGTTCACCATTGAAAATTTGGGTTTAATGTGTTAAAATTTATTGAAATATATAATTATGCATTAATAAATTATAGTTTGATGACAGGTGTGTGTGTGTGACTGCGCAGGTGTTAGGAAACTTTTTTATATAAAGTTTAGTTAGCATATATACTAAAATTATGAAACCAAGATCTTGGAAAATCTTGGGAAAAATTCAATAGAATGTATATTGACATAAAAGTGAATTAAAAACAGAATCTAAATCTATGGATAAAGCAATGCAGTTTTCAAATATCACAAACTTTCGTGTAAGTTGGATAATTATTGTTTTTTGGCTTTAATTTTAAATAAATTATCAAGTTTTTAGTTGCTGACTCTGTTTGGAAGACCAAATTTAAAAGGAATATTATTATTTAAAACTATGCCAGAAAGTATGCAACATTTTTTCACATACTTCAAAGATTGGAACCATTTTACCCATTGGAAGGCAATCAAAATTTTTAATAGAGCCAATAATTTTAAATGGAGAAGTTAAAGAATGGATATTTATGTAAGTTGATATATATTTAAAATTTTCTTTATTTTTTACATTCGTTTGCTTGACTTCAAATTGACAAGACTAGCAAATACCCCTTATAAATAGCTTAAGGCTAGACTGAGATTTTTCATCCTAAAAAAAGAAAAGTATAACATATTGGACAACCTGCTCGAATTATGTAGACACCATAAGCTAAGCCAAACCAACAAAAAGTTGCTTAGCTACGACTAATAAACACTGTAATGTACTAACATCGAAGGGCTAGGGGAAATTTAATGAATAAATAAATGAAAATGTGGGGAAAACTAATAAAAATTGTGTCAGAAGACCAATGAATGGTATCAGGTATGCCGAGCCAAACTATAAAGAGTTACATTGGTACGACCAGTAAACACCCTGTAAAATGCAACACAATGATGCTTTAAGGCAGATGCAATGGCTAAATGAATGAAAACATGTGGAGAAAATGAGTAAATGTATTGAATAAATGAAAATTGTATGGAAAATACTGATGAATACATAAAATCCGTAAAAATGCTAAAAATTGATGCAGAAAACTTGAAACTGTTTTTCCGTACACATGTGAAGCAATGAGCATAAAAGGAAAAATTGAGTATCAATGAATTTCTTTTTATTGCAAATGGGCGTAGGCTTAGACGTAGGTTTGCTTTCCTTTCCTTTTTGTGAAGGCTCACACGTAAATTAACCAATTTGTGTGCATGTGTGCGTATGTTTGTGGGTGTGTGCTATTTCAACCACCAGCCAGCATATATCTCTAACAAAGTGCGAGAGACATGGGCTCCACTTGCGGGAGCTTCAGCAAATGTATTTTGCTTCCGATTTTTTTTCCAGCAAGTTCAATGAACTTTCACGAGTGCTTTTCTTGTGCTACGCCAAAAAAGCAAATAACGAAAAGAAAAACCGAGAAGTTTTCATGCAGGTTGAGCGGCGGGTGGAGCGGCGCACACACAAGACTCACTTTCGTTTGTGGTGAGTGTGCAGGGAAATTTTCGCTTTATGAGAGTGCCAGGGTGGAGGGGAGGAGGTGGGACTGTGCTGGTCTGTCTTCAATGTGTCCATTCAAAAAGTGAGACAGGCAATGCTTCCCCTTTTGCCTAGCCCCAGTCTCGGCCGTCCCCCCTCAACTAGTTCGTTTAGCTGGCGCTGACGCTTTCATGGGGTTCTTGAACTTTCCCTTTTTGGCCACAGATTCGCAGCGTTTGTTTTTCTTATTCGGCATTTAACGAAAGTAAAGCACACCAATTCGACACCCAGGAATTTTCCAATATAGATTGTATTACGTTGAAATGATTTTTGGTTTTGGTATTTTGTATTTTGTTGATCGCTTTTCAAGTTTTTGATGTGTTTTCTTTTGGGAATTTTTTTAAATTTATTTTTGTATTTTCTTTTTCTTATTTGCTTCGAATTGATTTGTGGCTTCCCTTGTCTAACTGATAGACTCTGAAGTGTTTTTCTTATAATGACCTAATGAGGCTTTTAAAGTTTTATAATTATAAGCAGAAGAGAAAGGAACTTTGGTAATTAAGCTTGCTTAAAATACATATTTAAAATAAATGTAAAAAATATAATAAATATGAATGAGTTCTTAAATATGTAATATATGATCAACAGGANTTTCTATGACTGCCAAAAAAAAATTTTGAATAATGTAGTTTGTTAGATTTCTGTAAATAGTGTTTGTAAATATAACTATAACTATGGCTTTGAATTTAAAGATTCAAGGCCAGATTTGCCATCGCATTGGATCATTGCAACCTATTGAAGATGCACAGCAAAAATTCTTGCAAATATACTTCATGGGCAATATGGAAGAACAACTTGACCGGCGTCAAGAAATGAACACAGCTATGAAAAGAGCAATTCTCCATGATTTGCATGCTTAGAAATTTAAACCAACCAAAACTGTGCAATGGAACGCGTTTGGTGATAAGAAAACTGATGAGCAATGTGATTCACGCGTTGATACTCAAAGGAAAATTTAAAGATGAGGAAGTTCTTATTCCTAGGATTCCGATGAGCTCAACAGATATGCCCTTTGAATTTAAACGAATTCAATTCCCGCTTCGTCTTGCCTTCGCCATGACGATCAACAAGTCACAGGGCCAATCTTTGACTATTTGTGGCCTCAATCTAGAAAATGCGTGTTTTTCTCATGGTCAATTGTACGTGGCATGCTCACGTGTTGGCAAACGATCCGCATTATTTGTTCTTGCACCCGACCAAAAAACGAAGAATGTCGTTTACAACAAGGTGCTTGAATGAAAATCCGATTGATAAATTTATCAGTGTATCCCAGCCTGAACAACATAGCTTTCAACAATTTTTTACCTAGAAATAATATAGAGGGCAATGCAACGTTTGCCGGGCCAGCTAGTTACAAATAAAAAGCAGTAAAATTAGTGAAGTATTCTGCATTGGGATTTGCATTTAGACAATTATGTTAATTTGGTCATTGAAGGTCTATAAAAATCTGATATTCTAGCTGTAGAGTTTGGTATGTGATATTGGTAAGTACTTTAAATATATTTTTTTTATTTCGTTGAGTTAACTTGGTAAATAGAATATGTACTCTGGATACCTTACAAAAATTCCGTTAGAATGCATTACAATCGCATTAGATCAAATGATATAAAAATGACATTATCAAAGCACATCAAATGAATAGTCAGATAATATAATGTGGGTCAAGCTAAGCCATGCAACAGAAATCAAATTGGACAAGTACTTTTTATTTTACTATTATCAGAGGGGGAGGTGGATGGAGCAGCAAATGGTGTCTGACAGGCAGTGCCACACCACCATGGGACCAGCACTACAGTGAGTGCTGATTATGCATTTCCACCCTCAACACAGGCGCCAGAGGCAAACAAGCCTACGAGTGACATCATGACATAAGCTCGCCCCACAACTAGAAAACAGTTGCATTTGTTGTTGAAAAAAGAAAAAATTAATAGCAACAACAACAGGAACAACAAAAACTATATAACATAAAATTAAATTAGATACAGAAAGTAAAAGCCTAAGCCCCAAGCCCTCTTTGGGGTTGTCCGTTCCTCGACCGCCGTTCGCCGTTCGTCGTTGGCTCTGGAAGCTCGCGCTCGCAACGCCAGCCAAAAGGTCTTTGAACTCTACGGCCTGTAAATAGGTCATACAAGAAATTTTTCTGTGTGTGTTTCGAGTTCTTCCCAAAATTTTCCCTGGAGTGCCCAATTTTGGTGGTGGGTGGCGTCGCCAGTGCCCGCTCGCGTCTCTTTTCCAAATCAAAATCAATTTCAATTGCGTTGCGTAGTCGCTTGGAGTTTGCGCATTTGCAACAGCTGATTTCAACAGATGAAGCTAACTGCGAGAGTGTGAGCGGGAGCAATGCGTGTGAGAGCGGCAGAGAGGGGAACATTTCGAGTGCATTTTATGCGCAAGTTTGGATTAGACTAGGCAGTTGAGTAGGGAAATTTGGTTCTTCGATGTGAGTGCGTTGCGAACAATGAGTAAATGGGATATTTTTGTTGTAAAATGTTTTACGATAATTGAAAATACAAATATTTAAATATATAATGCATAGCTATGTAATAGTTGTATACAATTATTAATTTGTATGTAATTGTTATTGTACAAAAAGAAAATGTAAGTTATTTAAAAACTGTAAAGAAGAAAATTTAATAACAATAAAGTTTTATCTAGGCTTTAATAAGATCAGGCGCAAATTCCAACAATAGAATAAATTATTTGAATAAATTTCGTCTTTAAAAAAGTGTTAGTGTGCTTAAAAATATAATAATATCAATTCAATTCAGTTCTCATTTAAAAATATTTTTAAAATATTAGTTTTATTTCTTTGGAGATTACTAAATCTAAAATTTTTAAATTTTGGTAACTTAGATTCTAGGAAG